ACGCCACAAAGAATGTAGTGCCACATTATAAAATACTCGGCACATGTGGCACATGTGTATTTTCCCCACGCCGAGAAGGGCTTTGTCGGTGATACGCGACCATATTAAAAAACAGTAAAGTGATACGCCGTCAGTAAAGAGTTGAGAACCACTGATCTAGTGTACCTGGGCACTACTTGCATTTTTCAGCGTTGTAACCAGTTGTGTCAGTTGTGACACATATTGTGATGTAATTAAACAGCCGAATGAAGTTTTGTTATTTTCTTAAATTTCAAATATATATCATTTACATATTAATTTTGCATTCCATTTGTCATTGCTGTATTTATTACAAAAAATCATAAATTTTTATAAACTATTCAAAACATTTTTTGAACAAAGTTTTGATAAGAAAAAATTAAAAACATACACTAAAAATGACTTAATCTAAATATATAGACCGAAAATTTACAAAAATACTACAGAATAAACTCAATGTTTTTTTATTACATATGTCCTGACGTTTGGCATCTCTATTGTGCCACCAGCTTACTAGCATCAGGCTAAAATGATTTTACAGTACCAACTCGAATTAACGAGGTCACACGATCATCGGTTAATTTGGATCGTTGGGAATGTTTGATTAATTTCAGTAATGCAAAAATATTACGTTTATCATTTCATGTATAAATCAGTAAACACACAAACGACTGACTTTTCGTACCAGACATTTCCCGCCACATTTCGCGAGATTTCCTACTATTACGTGGTATAGGACCGCTTGAGTTGATTGATATTGATTTTTAGTAACTAGGTCAGGGATGGCGAATCTTTTTCAATGAATGGGTCAAAAATTATATTTTTATCGCGGAACAGAAGAGTGTGGGTTACAGATATTTAATCAATGTTTGTATCTATAAGAAACTTCTGACACAAATCTTATAAGCTTCTGTTTGGTGTTGGTGTAGTTTTGGGCTTTACTTATGCAGGACTACTTTCAGGGACTTTTTATGGCAGTCGATTTTATGAAATTAGAGTACCAAAACATGCATATGAATTACCAAAAACGTTTAGAATGATGCGGTTGGTAAATTATTTTACGGTTCCATAGAATTTGGAGGGAATTCCACTCTGATAGTGTTATATTGTTCGATCAGCTTTCAATCACATTAATGCACGTTTACACTGCCTCATTGGTATTTCTAGGTTTCTATTTCAAGGCTGAAAGATTTTTTTTCTCAACAATATTGTCAATTGCCAATAGCTGAATAACAGTACACAGCAGTGCAGACAAGCGTTCAAGATTAGGGATTTTGAAAATTACCATACCGTTCAAAAATTAACAATTTGAATATGAGCGATCGCAGCCTTGACTGCCCAACTGACGGTACAATATAATAGTTCAGTTATTGCTAGATTAATTTAAGGCCGGTTTTATCAATTTTTATCACTGATTTTTTTTTAATTCGTGCCTTGGTGGGTCACGAATAAAATGCGGTGGGTCCCTTTGTTACCCGCGGGTCAGTGGTTCGCCATCCCTGAACTAGGTACTTGTATAATTATAATAATATACAAACACATAAAAATTTGCCATATTGTATTTTTTCATTGTATTGGTGGAAACGTGAAAAATTAAACAATGTGCTTTAGAATTTTGAGAAATGTAGAAATATTGCAATTCCTATTTTTCTTCAAAAATGCCACCTTCTTCATGTACTTTGCGTTTCATTTAATCCCTGAGGTGTTTTTTTTTTTTAGGTATATTTGCTAGCTTGACGTGTATTCCTAATTGGGTCAACTTGAAAACAAACATAAAAATTAATTTTCCCAAAACTACTTTCAGTAAATTGTCGTTTTCTGTGTGAATAATCAGTTTCACTTTGAAAGATTTGAAACATGTATTACATTTAGATAAAAAAACTTACAAAATATTACTATTATTGTTCGAGGTGGTTATTGCGTTCGAGGGCCGCATTGGAGGTGCTCTGGGGCCGCAAGTTTGACACCCCTGAACTACATGTTATAATTGGTGACAAGCTACTCCCAGGACTGCGGACTAATATACACAAGGTGGCCCAAAAGTAGGTGGTTGCCCAAAAGTAGGTATACAGTTATTGAACTATTTTATATGCTTTGAAGCTACTGTTACTTGTTGAGTACCACAAAAATTGCTTTGTTTTAGATAATAAATCTAGTGTGAATTTTACATTAGTTTTCTAGCTGCTTGGAAGGTAATAAAACATAAATAAAATTACTATATACCTACTTTTGGGCCACCCTGTAGATTGCATTTTCCCTCTAAACTTCTTTCACTTAGAAAAAAGAGTCTCAATACCCAGTTTGCTCTATTTGACTATGTTATACTTACTCCATTTTAATACGAAATCCTGGTGTTATTTCTCCAGCAAGTGGGCACAATTATTTGTAATATTCCGTAGAATCCTCCATTTGTGTTATACACTACTTTAAAACATGGGATTTTGCTACGATGGCGGCCTTGTTGTTGAAATTTGATTTAACAACATCCATCCATCCGCGGTTCGTCAGGATCAAACGTTACGAAGCATAGCTAATTACCGAAAGTTGGAAAAATTCCTTTATATGTTTTATATCCTATTGATGGGAAATTTGTTCCCCTTTATCACCCACTTACGTCAATAGGTAAATCTGCCGGAAGCTGTTAGTTGAATGATTCATTACAAAACTAATAGTACGTAACAGGATAATCTTTTGTTTACTCTTGCACTTTGATCTCTTTCTTAAACTAACTAAATAGTTTGTTTGAAAACGTAACATTGCTACATGCGATAGGGAAAATGATTAACTCTGAAACTTTCGCATTCCGTGCGTTGAATGTTCATGCTGACGTGCTATACTTCGAACTTAGACGATTTCGTCGGATATAAAAACTCCAGAATCCAATTTTACGGTGGTTCATACAATTTTGAGTCTCGGGTTCACGGGAAATTGAGATGGTTGTTGCATTCCCTGATTACTAGACATGGTTGTCTACGGTAACACCCTTCTAACACCCAGATAAAAGTTGTGAGTTGAAATGGCCCATTGACAAATGACCCCGATGTAACGTAAAACACTTTTTATGGACTGGAAAAGTATTTTTGATAGCAATAGTCCAGAATGCCATCAAAAATAAATAAACGCTTATCAAACATAATACAAAAATGTAGCAAAATACGTTATTCAAAATCAAATCTATGATTGAAATTGTCTGTAAATACGGCTTAAATAATTTGCCACTAAATTGAGACTATAAAATTCATTTATTTGTTTCCTGTTCCATGTGATTAATAAATTAACTGAAACATGACACTCTCATGTACGAGCCATAAAATAAATTTAGTTTGGAAGAATTGCATCACAAACGCCCATTTCTTTTGTTTTTGCCGAAAAATATTTACTACTCAGAAACATCGTTGATGAGTAATTTGAAACTGTGCAAAAACAACCCGACGAAGAGTTCACGCACGAATTACTAATCTCGTCGATAATTCCCCGAATGTTTCCAAGTTTTAAAATGCATGCGGTTTCTCGGTAGCTTTTTTATGTAAAAGTTTATTATCTAATATTAAAGGCTGCGGAATATTACATTTTCATTCGGTATCTCATATATATAAAACAATTTGTAAATATATAATGTTTTTTCAAGAAGTCGAAATAGGGAGTAAATATACACAAGAGAAGAATGTTAACAAAACTGAACTGTTTTTATAATGTTATAGTATCACTGAATGAAAGTTGATATCTGCACGTGGAATGCGTATAAATTTGGATTTTATTGCCGTCTACTTTGTTATACAAATTTCCGAAGTCTGAATGAAAATGCCTATATTACAGAAAAAAATACTATTGTTGAAACACCACAAAATTGACAAAATACCAGCGATCGCACTTCTCAAATTTTTGTTTGTTTTGCAAACTTCCTGCTTACTACTTTGTTTTGTTTTGAAGGTCATAACACACAGACCTCTTTAACGCATACCATCACGACTTCAACTAACGGAATATACTAGTATTCGATGACAAGTAAAACCTGATGAACACAAATGTTCCAATTCAAAATATTGGCCAGACGGACAAAAAAACCTTCCGCACTTTCGAGATGAAACAATGGATACTTTTCCAGAAGTAGACTTTCAAAATATTTGCCTCATCTACACTATTCATTCATACGGTGACGATTTTTGTTTGAGCCTGTTCACAAAGTGAACTTTGGGCCAATGCGACGCATTGTTCAGGCGAGAACCAAACATTGCATGCAAGCAACTGTTTTGACCGGTTCACTATTAGCGCGACACAGAATACCGATTGCATTCTCTCTGTTGAAAACGGAGAATATAATACTGTTACTGAGCATCGTGACCCCACCATATACTATAAACAAAGTACTCAGGTATGTGAAACGACAAAAAAGAGCAGGGATGTTAGGTACACAAATACTGGCGGATCAATTTCAATTTTTAGTCGAGTCATTTCACATCGATTCATTAAAATTCGTTTTCCCAGGTCGCAAGTAAATCTCGCATCTTGTTTTGCTAATTAGATACGTTTCATGCATTACTAACATATCTTTGCAACACCCACGCCACACCTATAATGCTTTCAGAAGCTCTTTAATTATGTCTAGGTTATTCATTTTAGACGATATGGTATTTTTACTTGACTTGCAGCAATTATTTTCCTGGTGTAAATAGAACATGAATTAAAATATAAAAATGCAATTGATAAATGACATTTAATGGCATTTCCTTTCTCCAAACCCACGGAACTTTTTCGTATCAGAAAAGCGACTTCTGAATCGAAACGTCGCAGATGACCAGGCACGAATGACGCAATCACTGCAGAAAGAACAACAACAGCTCACGTGATAATATTGCCGTGAACGTTCGGTACTTTTTCTTTGAAATAACTAAACAAACGAATGAAAAACGCAGTAATTTTCGAATGGAGGGTATAAAGCAACAGAAATTTCTCTGAACAATGATTGTGCTTCTAGAAACCTTCAAATGAATGAGCTGAAAATGCTTGATTGTATAACTAGGAGACGAGGACGGGATGGAGAGAGAGGTATTGCTGCCAAGACCATGTGCGAGATTTTTCGTATTGCAATCAAACACATGATTCGAAAACAATAATTTGTTTTTGAAATTGTTGTCAAATGCTAATGTCGATCCCCCTAGCAGTTAGTAATTGCAATTAATTGAAGTAGATAATAAGCTTTAATATTTATATAAATCATATCGACAAATAGACAGATACAGTTGTTTAAATGAATTCCGTATTTATGAAGTGCTCTAGTTAGTAAAAGTTACTACTTATCTTTATAGGATTCTTTATATAGCTGATATGCAGCACTTGCGTTACTTCGGACTTCAAAAAAGCGCTAGATATAAATTGCAGAAATATTTACCCATGGTGACGTCAGTGTAGATGAGATTTGTGACAAACTATCTTTGACATAAATTGAAGTCGGTTCTTTAACCATATATTTACTAAATCATCTTGTTTATTATTTGCATAAGCTGAAAATCGTAAAGAAAACTTAATGAATAAACAACTTGATTTTCTCAAAACATACGCTCAATCTAACGCTCGCTCATTTTACGGCTGACAAGTTTGGGGTGAAATTATGGGATTTTAGCAGACGAAAACATGTTACGTAATAATAATAGGCGTGCAAAGTACGTGGACTCTGTATTCTTAAATTTCTGCTCATGCACAACAAATATTCTGCAATTTGTAAATATTTGCTAACTAAGGAAAAAGGAAAAAGGAGAAACTTCAACATTGAATATTAATACTAAAAAGATAGAGACTTCTGATCAGTGATCGGTAGACACTAAGTATGAGTGGGACAAATTATACTAAGGAAGCGTGGAAAACCGCGAATCCTATTTTGGTATGAAATACAACCATCGGTAGCAACGTTCGCAAGAAAACGACATACAACTGACGCTACTTACCACAAAACAAATGCCGCACACAAAGTCATTGTTACGACATGCATCCGTGCATCCGTGCTCCTAACAATGCAGTTAGAAGCAATTTTCGTTTTCATGCATTAAAAGTGAGGTCGTTAATCAAGAGCCACAAAAAATTGTTCGCGGGCGCATTTGGCCGCTGATCCGAAAAAACGGTTCACTATCAAAAGCGGTGTCAAAACTATTTTAATGTGGTGTCGTGTGCTTGATGGATTCTATATACAACGTACATGTTTTATACTTAATTAGATGGTGAATTATTGATTAAATAATTTAATTACTTAGAAGCTACAAAACGTGACAAGGACTGACAAATCAGACACGTTTGTCATACCCCAAAAAAATATAGGTTAAGAAACTCAATTTTAGGGATATACTAATAATTTAAATACCTAAATGATTTTTTGTTTTGTCTTGTAAACTTATACTATTATATATTTTTATCAGAATTTAGATATTTTCCTAAAACTTGCAAAAAAATGACTTTGTATTTTACTTCCCGGTATGTTTCATCGGTCGCTTTACCCATGCTGATGTTGTGTTGCTTGATGATGTCGTGTGACGTCGCAAATGCACGCAGCGAAAGAATAAGAAAGTGCGGAAACGAGGCAACATCGTTTTTGAAATGGTTCTGTCAGAATCCAACGTTTGAATTTCCTTTTGATTTCTCAAAAGTGCATGGTAGGTTTTTGATTTAAGTCATTTTTAGCGAAACAAGCATAGTGTGTTACTAGTACTTGAGCACCTGAAATCGGTGACTTTGCGAACCAAAATTTTTATTTCAAAAATATTATTAATAAAATTGTTTGACCTAGTATTTCCACAAAGAAAGAAACAAGTTACACAATTCGATATCAATTTTTCGAAAACACATAGGATTATATACATCCAATGCAATGGGTATTGATGAGAATTTGATGAAAAAATTTCAATAATATTTTAATTATTTTTCAGTTGTGTTGCGTTATCAGCCGCCTCGAAAAGAGCTTTATCCTTTCCAATATCAAGCTGCTGTCTGCTGTAAAATGGGCTGCAAAGAGTATGAGTTTCGTCGATTGTGTAGATACCAAAATTTGCATGATTTATGTACAAATGGTATCAATATTCGCACAAAAGAAGGAAGAGACTCACGAGCACAATGTTTGCTTCAAGTTCACGGCTTAGCAGCTGCTCCTAAAACTATAGCATACAGTGGAAAATGAAGGAATTGAACTGATAATGATAAATCAATATACATACCTAATTTTGTCGTTTGTGTATATCTATATTCTTGCAGATTTTTGTATTTTTGAAGAAGCTTTTTTATTTTAAAGATTCAAAAAACTTGGAAGAATCACACCAAAAGTAAAATTGGGGTTTCAGTAGTCGTTAGCGTTTTTATCTATTTGTTTCAATTAGTTTCATTTTTTTTTAATTAATGTCAGATTTTGATAGGATGTAAAATTAATACTCGAGTAGATCAACCAATTTGGGCCAGATGATGACATTGAAAATATTCAATATATTTAATTTTTGTTATTATGTTTTGAACCGTATTTATATTTTCAATGGAAGAGTTTGTTTGCAAATTTTATTTGTATTTTTTGAATTATTTATTCTCATTAAAACCAGGAAACGCTATATGTCAATTTTAAAGATTTGTAATTTAATGATGCAACATATCCTATATATTATAAAGAATTGCTTCAAAGAGTTCTTCCTATTCAGGATGCATGGATTATATTACATTTGAGTGCAATTGTATTTTAATGACTGAATGTATTTATTTCTGTTCAGAAATTTCCATAAAAGTATAAATAGTTTTAACGAATTATTCTGTGAAAATGTTAACGAAAAGTACCATATTCCGTTTAAGTGGAATAGCATTATTTCTATATTCTCTATTCTTTGCGTCATCACAAGTTGAAGGGGCAATACCACCGAAGCGATGGGTTAGAAAATGTGGACAAGAATCGAAGACGTTTCTACGATGGTATTGCAAAGATAATTCTTTCGTATTTCCATTTCCGTTCCGCCAAGTTCATGGTAATTTAAGTTTATTTTACATAAATTATTTTACCACTTTTATCACACGATTTTTTTTTCATTTTCATTTTGAGCTGCATATTGCAAGTCGATATTTTGGTCATTATCATCTAAACGTGAAAACATTTTTATATTGCTCTAACGATTGACTGTTTTGTTTGGCGTTTATATTTCCGCACTTTATTGAACACAATGTTTCGAATTTATTTAAACTCGATAAAACTTAACTTTGTTAACGTGATATTTTTATTCTGTTTTAGTTGTTCTGCGCTATCCAGCCCCGAGAAAAGAGCTATTTCCATTTCAGCACCAAGCTTCTGAATGTTGTAAACGCGGGTGCCAGGAAAGTGGATATATCAAAATGTGTTGGTATCACAATATCCTCAAACATTGCGAGAGGCACAACAACCACCATACGGAGGAAGGTAGACAAAACCGTGCAAACTGCCTTCTGAAATTAGAAAAAGTCAAAAGATCCTATGAAGTTGAACAAATACCCAGGCTAACGAAAACTCAAATTGCAAGCGATCTTGCATTAGAAAGCTCATGATCATTTAACTTATCAACATATATTTAAAAAAACATGTGTGCACTTTTTTGTAAAGGTGCAATTGGCTGGCAGCTGGCGTGTTACGCAAATTTTTTCATGACATCGCGGAACCAAGCACGTAACCCAAAATTTTAAAATTGGGCAAATCTCTTTTCCAGCTGTAAAGGTCGCGATCTCAATGACTGTCTATTTAACAAAGATATGACTGCAAACTATTTTTTGCAGTTGAATTTTTAATATAACATGGTGTGGAGGGTATTCGGAGGAAGATTTCAAAATGTTCTATTTTTTTATCCAGCAATGCCAGTCAAAATTATTTTCAATCGCCACATATTTTGGCTCATTATGTACATATTGCACTGTAATATTTATGAACTTTACTTTCTGTAATTTTAAATTTATTATCATGATTATTTATACCCAATTGGGCTTTCTGTTTCTTGTGTGTATTACTCATTTTTTCTATTTATTTATTTATTGGATTATTTAAAAAAAATTCTTGTATTGTTATAGTGAATTGGATTAATCGTTCAATTCATTTGTGCCAGATATACCCAAGTAAATAAGAAAATCGCCATGCAAAATAGGATTTGCCGGAAATTAAATATATCTCATGAGGAAAATTTTGTAATGCTTTGTGAATGACGTTTTTCAAAAAATATTTTTACGTGTAAAATTATAGAACTTTAACAACTGTGATATTTTGCGCAGAAATCACAGGGGGAGAATTATCAGAACATGCAGAATAACTTTGGAATGACTTATTGGCTTTAATTAGGATTATATAGAGCAGATATTTTTGACCATTCTTTAATTGATACATTATTCGCATTCGGTGAATGAATGTTGCCCATTGTTAGTAAATATTCGATAGTAAAAATAAAACCCCAAGACACAAAAAAGACTGGCGCTTCCGTAGTATGTGCACCAAGATGGCGGACACCGGAACGTGGTGTGTGTACCAGATTAGGGCTGGACATAATTTTATTTTAATTTTTCTTATTTTAGTTCCATTACGAGATCGGGGACTAGCCAGGTGACCCTAATCTTGTACACATACTGCGTTCCGATGTCCGCCATCTTGGTTCACATACTACATGAGTACCTAGAGATTAGTATCATTCAATAATACTTCCATTATAGATACAATGTTTTGAATTACATTTTGGAACTAATTTTACCTATTTATCTGCAACTAAAATCCTTCATCAACCCTGAATGCTCGAGCACATCGGTAAATATATAATCTTTGAAAGTCTAGAGTCCAGACAATATGATATTGGTCGAAGCAGAGGGTGCATCATATGGCCTGCGGGTCACTGTCCGGCCCGCGGAATCTCTATACTTGGCCCGTCAGAGACTTTATCCGATAATTTTTGAATGCATGTTACGTGACCACGTTACAATGAGGTAAAAATTCGTCTAACAATGATTCAATAGCATTATATTTATTTACTGGCGCCGTGTAGTGATTGAAAAAATTAAAACGCCTACCAGTAATAACTTAGGTTGATGATGAATGGCGAAATGGATATGGGTTGTGAAAATGATCATCGAAAAGTGTCTCTGGATAGGAAATATTTATTAAAAACAATGGCTCGCCGAATGGATGATCTTTAAAAAAAATATCGAAGTAGGACAAACTTACAAGCGATTGTTGAACCTGAACGTGCCCATCATTGAAAAGATTTGCATATTTGTACAGGAGTTATGTATATGGGCATTACATATCTCTGGAAAATCATGAACAAAAATGATCTCTCCTCGGGGATCCTCGTACTCCTGTCAGCAATAAAGAAAATGACGCTATGCAAGACAAAATTCAGCAAACAGATTGCGATAGTTACACGCACCTGGTTCAAAGAATTAGAATACTGAAATAAGAATGGTAACATATTTTTTCATATATATATATATATATCAGTATATGGTACAAATGTTCTTTGCACTTTCTGCCTCAACTTATCTCTGGATATTCCGTTTAATTCCCCAATGCTATGTTATATCCAGTGTATTCGCTAAGTTGCCTTATTGCCAACTTATACCTGAAAAATTGTATCATTATCTATATATACAGTATATCTATACGGTATCGGTACCATTAGTAATCAAATGTAACTGTTTTATTTTATTATTATAAAACCTATTTTGTCAATTCGATTTATTGCACCTCCCTTTTTCTAACAATACACTTCGTCTAACACTCCACATTGTAACCAGGTGGATATCTAGGACCTAGGTCGCCTTCAAAATTCCACAGACTAATTTTCGGAATAGCTCTTGCTTCAAGTGATTCATCTGAAATGGGAAATTCTCTGTCCATCTGTTGGTCTTATGACTCTTCAATATAACCTCTACTATATAATCCCTGGTAAGCGGTGTTCGTTAGAATATTCATACGGTACTCATCGTCATTTTTAGTAGTTTCAAAATTACCGAAATTCAAACTTTTTGTTTTAGATATTAGAACCTCGGGTGTCGCTGCTCGATAGCAAGCGTCGGTTCCCCGAGACATCCCTTCCCCAATAAACTGTGTAATTAACATTTTCTAGTAATTTGTGCTCGTGTGATATTTTTTACTGGTAAAAAAAATTAACTTGACTTGATATCATCGGATAAAGAAGATAATTTGGCAGTTGGTAGTCTGCGATGCATGAATCAATGCATTCAAAAATAACCTTGCTAATAAAGAGATTCAAAACCACTCATATCACTCCCAGTTGACCCAGATGAACAAAAGAATAGCAAGCATCTCCGTTCTGCCAAAATCACCATTGTGACCTTATACCTACATTTCAAGTACCATGTATATCCATGTAAATTTTGAAAATCTCAAAGAGATAGGAATTCATTAAAAATTATGAGACAAGAGGGCTGTATATATTTGGGAAATAAACCTGTTAGTTATTGCCTTATAGACTGTAATTCAATGTTCTTAATTTATTTTCATTTAAATTTACTTGTATTTTAACATTGAAATACCTAGCATTGCTAATTTGTTGATATCATCGTTTCTCATAACTATAAAATGACATCAGGGTTTTTATTTCACAGAGTATCAATTTTAACAACTAAATTATTTTTAACTCGAACGATTTCAATATGATGTCATTATGGTTTTGAATTGCTGTAAAATATGATAAAATAACCTGCAGGTGTTCATACTTGAAAATATCGAACCTGTATGAACCGTCAAGTCGTATAGTATTAAATGATGAAATGATATATAAACATTTCACGGGTTGTTAAGTTTTGCCGTTAGGGCATTTGAACACGTTTATATAAAAAAACGACAAATATTAAATTGCTAGGTAATTCTTACTTAGTTCACCTTTTATTTTTAAGCTCATACGTTTAAGTCATATATCTATTTAAGGTATATGAAGCGCTAAACATGGCCACAGATAAAAATCAACGATTCATCAGTGGTTTTATTGTTTACAATAGAGAATAAACATTTTGTACGTACAGAATGTAAAAATGGCATTCCATGGTATAAGGAGACTAGGAAAACCAATACTGGGGTGAAACCTAACAGTAGTAATACTCGCATATACAAATACTAAATCAGGCTATAAGATTGATTCTTTTGTATTGAAAACAGGAGCTCTGTCAATTCCATCAATTCTGAACCTTAAATTATTGTTAACTCAAACGAATTTTGTTTTTAAAACAATTTAGAATACGTTTTATTATCATTCTACGAAACCGGATGTTGGTTGTTTAAAGCGATTACAGGTGTGTTGTTCACGATTATGTCAAAAATATTCCTTCGAAAAAGCATTTTTGTGAAAGATCAGGATTATCTAGTAATCACAAAAATAATCTGGTTTTAAGTGAGATTTTGGGGAATTTTACAATAAAAATACGATACAGTCTTCACGTTTACGATGTTTTGTTAGTTAGTAGCTGATATTAAACGTTACGGAATTCACAAATTAGAATGTTTTCGTGCTTTCAGTCGATCGTTTTGTATATTTTTATTAATGGTAAGTTTTCATGATATAAATTTAAAATAAACATACATATATTAGGTGCATATAATTTTCATTCGACCGAACTATTGCATCTGGATATAGTGGTACTCGGTTGCATTTGGATTACAATGTTTCATCTCGAATCCATCGAGTGTTACTTTCCGGCAATGCATGTATGTTGTAGTAGGTTAGAAAAAAATTTAACGCGCAATACACTTAATCCTTTGTCGGAGACATTTCAGCTCACTAAAATCGAACAAATCAATACCGAAGTACAATGTTTGCAAATAAAAACGAAAGGTTACATATGTTTCGGAACGAGTTAATACTTATCTCAAACTGCGTACTAACATGTCTACATTCAATCACATGTATATGATGTGTGTTTAGAAATGTCATTATTTTTTTGTAATCACACTACCTATTTTCCGAAAGAGCTGCAGATGAAATATATGATAAATATGAAATTTTAAAACAGAAATATGTTACTTAATTTGTTCAAATTCTTAAAATATAAGATTAAACTTGAAATATGATTATGTATACTGACGTATTTGAATATTTGATAAAAATACTTTTGTGGGTTCGAATTAACTTTATTATTTGATTGTGAAACATCTAATCACTCAATTTTCAAATTTCCCGAATCCAAATTGTTTATTTGAAAACTCTTCAAATATTATCTTGATGTTTGAACAACTCAATATTTTTAGGTGTGTGAAACGACAAATTTCATTCATCCGATATTTAATATATAAAATTATAAAATGATCTTTTTTTCACTTATTTTACCATTATCGTGATTTTATACTATAAATAGGTACCATTTAATATTAAATATTAGAAAAAAACGATCAGCTCATTTGGTCAATATCTCCATTTTAACCCATGGAAACAGGTAATTGCTCGTATAAATGATATCATTGTTTATTAGTATAATGACGTCAAAGAACGTCATACACCAAATTTAGAACAATATAAAGTGATGAGCATTGCGTCAATTACCCCCAAAAACTCTCCCTTTCCTGTCACCACTGTTTAAAATGTCACCTTTTGTTTACAGCCTAATATTTAACATGTACTATACCATTCTTACGTGAAACAAGTAACTTGAAAACATGCTTGGTAGACAGACGTTTGAGCAAAACTTCATTTCGTATTTCCCCCTTATTTCATTCAATGTTGGTTGACATTACATATTCCCCGCATTAGGTCAGGCCTTATAAGAACCAAATACCTAATTTGTACCTTTCATGAAAGAATGGATTAAACTAATATTAGAATTAAAGGCGACAATGTCGTGATATGTTACAGGATTAAATGGACCACATTATCGAGTGGGAGTGTCCTTCTAGTTCAACATTAATCCCCAACCTATATTGTTAAAACGTAGGAGCATAAAGTTAGTATTTAAGTGCATTTTAAAGCGTCAGATTTATACGCAAAGACAAGCGATAGGATGTGATTTGTATAAACGTGTTGTAATTCAACAATAATAGCAGAATCCTTTTGTTAATATTTGACATCATTTGTTCCCACTTCTAAAATCAGAAACCCCACGTATCTAGTGGTATCGAACGTGACATAAAGTAATTTAAAGGGCTTTGGAAAAAAGTATAAACCATGACTCGGTAAATGTCGCAACTGGTATTAGATTATGAATTGAAGAGATAAATAAATAGCTGATAACCAAATTATGCATTTTTCCTCTTGAAAATTGTGAAATATTGGTTTGTCGTTTTGTAACAAACCACTATTTGTTATCTATTTTGAAAATCGATATTCTAATAATAATATATTTTATCATTCAAAAGAATGTTACAAAGATCATTAAATAGTCACTATTTCGCGGGAATTGTAATAACCTAATTGGTTTGAATCTTATGATTCTGTTTGTGAGAATTGCCATTTGTCCCATTTCTGACATAAATTATTTTTAATAGGAGGAGTACAGTTCAAAAAATTTAAAAGTTTGAATTGATTCGTAAAAACTGAAACGATACCTTACGTATTTATCTACGACATTTTGAAAAGTATTTATGAAAATTTTAAATCGGCCGGTTTATCTTATCGCGCGGATGATTGTGGCGTAAATGCGATGATGACATTACAACCGTGACAAATTATAATTTTTAAGATACTTTCGAACAGGTGTTAGGGTGGAAGTAAGTGGTAAAGATCGTTCTTGCGCAACTTCAGGTCTGCTTAGTCGTAACTGAATATGAAACATCTGCGAAAGTGGCTACCTAGATTTGATAGTTTCAATAAACTGGTAATATTGCGTCATTGTATTATAATAAACTTAGTAAGTGCATTGAAAGCACAATTATCAGTTTGGGACTATAGTATAACTAATTACTTTTCTTCTTGCTGTGCCTTTGCACACACGTAAATACGTACGTGTGTGAAGCAAGGATGATGTGATACAAATTACGATGAATATAAATGATTCAAACGTATTAGCGCACACCAACACAAGCATTTGAGTTAGTGTATACAGCAAGAGCCTTGATTTAAGAATATCAACTAGTTACAATTGATAAAATTCAGTGACAGTATATCAAGCATTTCCCAGATATTTGGGTGGAGGTACAAGCTCATCAACATTCTGCATTATGCCACTCATATTTATCTCCCTTTTTCAAGCTACAAAACAATTTTATTGAGTTTGTAAATGGTTTATTTTGATGGACGTACTGTCTACGTCTTACATTTTGATTTCCCTCTGATTCTCTGAATATACTTGTATATTTCAGTGACTTGGCTTATTGTGACGTTATCAAACATTTACTCCAAAATTAAAACTTGAATACGCACCGCCATGAACGGGAAAAATATTTTTGTATGCAAATTTAAACCCAAGTTCAAAGATCTTTGTGGTGAACAATAAATCGAAGCATTTTTTATTAACAATTTGTCGTTCAATTTTTGAGGGCAATATTTTTTATTATAAAGCCTAGGGCAATACCAGGTGTTACATATTCTTAAAAATGCTGATTGTCTACAAAATTATCAAAAATTCAAATTCTGGCCTATTCTCTTTCTATTTTATCACTTCCGTATATAAAAAATACAATCGTTTTGCTAACTGTAAATCATTACGTTAAGATGTGAGGTTCAGCCACGTATTGGACTCATATCATTGTAGAATAGTTATGCGATATGAACAGCATCGTTCTTGAAGATTGAATACGGCTCAAACATGTGGAAAAATCAAATCCAATCAGACTCAAAAATTTGGGACATTTTATTATTATATTTGAACCATACACATTAAATACAAACGAATTTTGATAACATTTGGATGTAAGGTTATTGCAAGTGTCATAATGAGCATTTTTATTAGATTAAAGCTTTGTCCATTCGAGGCTGACATTTGCCAAACAACAACATCTCAGTGCGGTTTTGGAAATTTGACAATCACATGAAATGTTTGCTGGTAAAGTCGTCACAAAAGTTTGTTTTAAAAATACTTCCGTGCTGAATGGTTATTATTTAGATATTAATATTACATTACACCTTTGCTTTGTCAACATCCATGCATAAATAAGACAAGCATTTAGGGTTGGTCGTATACAAATACATTGAATGTGATTTATCTAATCTAATTTGAATCGCTACAAAATTATCGACACACCTTGGATTTATAGGATAGTCCACACAACGTGCAAAAAATATTCAAGAGGAATTCATGCAATTTAAAACAGTAAAACAAATATTTACTCATGTTTAAATTTACTTTTTATTATCGCCTTATCAATGGGGCCATTTTGCTTTTTCAATGGAGGTAACATAAAAGAATGTCAAAATTGTTAGCACACCTGGACATGTTCTTTGCATAGCTTTAAAAATTATCAGAATTTGTAGTGAAATTTCGTAGTGGATAAACGTCGACAATGAATGAAAAATGTCGAGTTCTTGCTAACAACCATTTCTTTAGATGCCGTTACATATTGTGTACCGTAATATATCATTGTAATTACTTGTTTCTTGAAGTTTAAACTTACGAAAGCTGTGTTCGTAGGATATGTGTAGAACTGTGTTTATATGTATATGTGTAGAATAACAGGGTAAATTATATATAGACCATTAGTCAGGTATGGTAAATATTGCCTGTTAATAAATATTAAACGACCCCTAAAAAATTAAATAAGTTGTCAGAGCGAGCACGAGATTGGAATATATATTGACTGCGATTCCCATATATAATGGACCTTCAACAATAGCGTAGTTGTTTCACCATCTCTCAAAAGATAAAATGGTGAAAATGCCCCTTTATTGTTTTGTTGAGATTGAGTCTTAAATCTATTCAAACGTGCGTCAAGTAGTTTATACAATAATTTCAGGTCAAGTGTATCTGGATTTGGTAAATCCTAGGCCAATCATAACTCAACGTTTGTTATATAACTTAAATGGTAATCCCTCCTCATAAATTTTTGTTTTGTTCTGTAATCTCCCTCCCCCACCTTTCCGAGTCGATAAGTGAAGTTTCTGTAAGGAAGATAAAGTAGGCGATGATTTGAATAAGCGAAAATAAACCTGCGTGTTCTAAATTTAGAATCTTAAATAGACAAATTCAGATTTCTGGTGAAGCTAAACAAACTATCACTTTAATGCGACGAATATGTGGTTTCCAGCTCATTATGAAACTTCCCTCTATCTGAAGTAGGTATTAAGTGTATTCATTCACATTTGACTCTGGCGCTTTTTTGAGAGAATTGCAATGAAGTTAAACCGTCATTTGACTACAGCTAGTCAGTTCCCATCTTTGACGCTTTGCGTCTTTTTTTGTCTTAAAATCACACTCTAAAAGATTGTACAAATAGCATAATTAGGTTTCAAAACAAAGAAAATCCTACATACAACATTGACGAGTTTTTTTTTTGTAAGTTATAAACGATGCCACAAGTTTTATCATTTTTATTTAATTTTATATTTCTCGAAAATGAAATAAAAAAGTGCCACAAAAAGTTGAATGCGCTAAAAAATAAAGCACTTGACAAATAAGAAAAGACAAGCAAGCGTTACATATATACGTAAACAAAGCGTTTTTACTTTCATCCTAAGATTACTATAACTATTTGAGACATAGAATTGTCGGGTAACTAGAGTATATCGCCAGCAATATCTCAAAAAAATTATTTTTGTGATAAACACACTGTATGACTTGTAAAATGTTCTGTGTCGCGTTTAACACGTCACATTTTGACTTAAACTTCAAAATTCAAAATGGTAATGAATTCAGAAGAGAATATCTTGGTCACCAGCTTATTTTATATAATATGAAACCGGACTAATATAAATTCATGTAGAGGGTATGTTAACTAAACTTCATACACTCGTCGTAGTTTGCATTCTGGGTAAAGCAAGTTAGTTGAGGTGGCATTCAGTGACCAGCACTTTGCGAATATATCCTCATTTGTTGTAGATTCCCTACTTCAAAGTTACAAACGACAATGCGAATATCGTCGTTTTCTTCTGCCAGCTCTGATACGGTGATTCCAATATCTTTCACAATTTTGTATTTTTCTAAAAAAAATTGTGTATTGTAATAGATATTATCTCTGGAAATGCTCTTGAGATTGAGTTAGGGGTGATGTGTTCGGGCCGTTATCAATATTAGGATATTTAAATTGGGCTTTTCGGTTATTTGATACTAACACGATATAATCTTTGCACCAATGATTGGGTTAGACAATGGATTTGAATATACGGGAGAAGGTGATGCGTACATTAGAACACCTGTATATTGTTGAAATAATTATAATAAAATATTTGATTCCAACATGAAATCAAAAATATCATTTTTTTTTATAACGAGCTGTTATAGCGACTAAATAAATTATTTACCTGAATTTATAAATATCAATAGTTTAGCACTATCACTACTATCGATAAAAATTGCACTGATCTATGGCTAATCTGATGAACATTCAATAGAATGAAATACTCACTTGTGATAATGACACATCTTCTGATACCCGCTCTCAGGACAACCAAACCTACAACATACTGAAGCCTGATGTTGGAAAGGATAGAGACCTTTAACTGGAGGTCGATATCTCATTATGACTGAAATATAAGTTATTAAAACAGAGTAAGTTTACCAGTATGGCAAGCATTTTACAAAATTCTAATATGATATGAATGAGAAAATTCACGATAATGTAACTTGAACCAAAATCAATGCTAAAATTTAATTCGTAAGAAAACAAATATTAAATTATTACTAAGAATATCATATAACTGCACCAACGAACTGTGACTGGAGTATCTTAGTATAGCACGATAATATTCATTTAAATGCAACAGAACAATAATTCACTTACTGTAAACTCGGTTGAATGGAAACGGAAAGTCAAATGAAGAATCCATGCAAAACCATCTAAGAAATTCACGGGCATTATTTCCACATCTCTGCATGACACCATTTGATACGCCGGCATGTGTTTTGTCTACCTGACTCGACAGCAATACCAAGAAAACTACAGAGGCAAAAGCATACGAAAATAGAGACATTCTCATTTGCATTGATGACAGCAACTTGTCCCTTTTGTATTTCAAATTTAATCACTACTTCTGCTCAAAATATATGAAAATCATGTTAGAATGAATAGAATAAACGATCAGAAAAATTCGGCCACTTCGAAACACTGCGATTTGCTATGTAACCTCTTTATTCGTTTGTAGAATGTAATGAGAAATATTGCTCTTCCGGTTCTTTTTATATCTACAAATGGACCTAGTTTAGTATATTTACAATAGTTAATAATTGAGTAATGTTTAGGTCGTTCCTTGACACACATGTGACTGGTAATGATATCGATTTACTCGACCAATACTATAAAAAATTGGTGGAAAAAAGGGAGATAATAACTAAAAATGCACATTTTGATATATATAAATATATATTTGTCTTATGATGCACAACAAACAATATAAATGAAATATATTCAATTTGATATTTTGTAAAATGTTTTAAATCTTATCAGTGCAAGCTGAAAAATAGTTAGAGCGTACACGGAAAGCACCATAATTTATCTGTTTGTCCAGGCTATTTATCAAAAGACAAACAACGCCTGTCTAGGTTATCTAATAGTAAACACCGTCATTTGGTTACTTGATTCTGAGCCAGTGATGAAAATGGGCGTTGTGGGTATTATTCTATTATCCTATCAGCTACTGTCATTTCCAACACAATTCCGACACCCTGAATAACTAATTTAGATGATGACAGTGCTCCAGTTCGATTGCTTGTATTAAGGTACCAATGTCAGTCACAGCTGGTAAATCGAATGTAAAGCGTTCGATAATTCCAAATGTTTACACTGAAATCCACGATGGTCGGGCCATTTTACGATACCTTTATAAAAAATTACCGTGGCATAAACACGTTTCTAATTGCATATGATATGACTTTATTTTTAAATTTCATACATGTTACATTCCGTAAATACAATTGCTGAATATAATTTAACGTAGCTGCTATCTCTTTTTACTGCAAGACGGGAAGCATTTTCTGCAATGAATTCTTTTCAGTTCGACAGTTTCTTATCTATTTTATAACCTTTCTCGTGCAAAATATTTTACTTCTTATTGCGAAACTCTATTTTCCACTTTTTGCAGTCGAAAAAAAGCATAGTTTTTAAGAAGAATAGTGCAGCTGAATTTCTACTATGATATGCTATTATATATTGTACGAGTGTAATTTGATGTCTTTACCAATATCTTCGCGTCTTTGTAACATCTTTTAATATCCCCAACGAGATGTGTAAAAAACCGTTAACCTGTTCTGCACCTATCGAAGAATAAATTCGACAACTTTTGTCACTGACTTGTGACTTCCTGCGAAATATTGCCATCGTAGGAGAGAGAAACAAAAAAAAAAGAGAAAAAAGAAACTGAAGAATCGAGAGAATAAACCACAGACCTCTCTCAAACCCATCTGATGTTGTCTCAGTAATATAATATATGTGATATACATTTGAAAAAATCAGCTAGTTGAGTCGAATTCAAAGTTGATGTGGCGTTAAAAAATGGATAGCAAAACTGAAAAATTGAATTTTGACATTTTTAGGGGGCTAGTGCTGTTTCTTATAAAAACGCACTTAAAATTTTCGATCAACTAACTGAATTTCTTTCAACGAGTCTTAATTTATTGATATATTTGCTCATTTTTGTGGTTTGGACTGATACCCAGTTTATAACGCAGACAGAATCTGAATACTTTATAAAAAAGAAAACTGTTTCAATTACGTATTGCGTACCAAGTTATTGGTTTGAATATTGTGAAGGCGTAGCACCTTATGCAAAGTCCCTTTTTCAGTTATAAACAAACTCAAAATTATATATTAAAATTAAACGCTTGATCTGCTGGAATAAATACTGCACATTAAGTTAATATATCTCATATTTATTTTTTAAGAGTTTACAATCTCTCGAATACCAATTTAATGCGAATTGCAGGTAGTTAGTGTTCAATTTTAGCAAACTATCAAATTGCTAAACAATAAGTTTAAAACATTAAGAGCATCATTCAATATTTTCATATAATATATATATTTAGTACATTAGGTGATTTACTGGTGTTAATAATTTACTTAAAAATATACATGAGTATTTGATATCATCAATATGATATTCAACCACAAAAATTTTAACTGAGAATAAAGTATTTCATTTTATTTTCATTTTCAATTCCATCTTATGATAAATTAAACCCTTATTAGCACAATACTTTCTGATGGTCCCCAGTCATCTTCAATTGCAATTTATTCTTCTTTGGCAGTCGTCCATGGGCTCTATCCATGAACAGTGTATTCACAATTTGCAACGTCAGTCTTAGACATCGTATCATTGTGTTTCAGTGGATTATTCTTGTACAGCATCTACCAGCAATTATGGGTTGATATCATACATTTTATAATATTTTTTAAATGTTTTGAAGTTTACTAAGCAATGGGTTTTTCTTAAATATGGTAACTATGGCAAAATGTTTTACTGGTAATGTGCTACATAAATAAGTTGCTGGCGGAAAAAGTGGTGAAACGATCTTATATCAAATTGAACAAAGAGCCGAGTGCAAATAACAAAAGAGAAAACACACATTAGGGATAAACCACACTTTGGGTGTAGCATTGAATTATGATTTGTTGTAACAGTCTAGCCTTTGAGTTCTCTAGAATTTATATAATACTGTAAGTTTCTTTACCTTTCTCATATTTCTCGTCATGATCTTTTGAAGTAGACAGATCATTTAAGATTTATTTTCTTTTCCGATGAGAAAAAGCAGAACGTCTTGCGCAACAAGACTCCGTGGGGTCCGAAAATCAATTTTCGAAGCGCACTATTACCGGACTAGATGTTTTCTTTCAAATGTTTACCTTCAGAGTTTGATTATTTTGGCTTATATAATTAAAAATCAACATAAATTTCATTAGCATTCCACGGTATATTGATATGACAACTTGGGAGTCAAACGCGTTTTAGACTCCAGAACGATCCTACTTTTATAATAATCAATGTGAAACAGAATAATATATGGTACAGCACGGAATAGACGTAATTGTGTGCCAAGCCGTAAAAGGATATTAAAGTCGAAAGCCAAACCGATCTATTGAGTTGATTACACAAGGGGTGCTAAACCAATAGCATCGTTTCCGCTCAAGTCGCTTAGTATATTGATTTAGTAGTCAGGATTGTTATATATGTCAATCGAAGAAGATCAAAATTGGTGCAATATTAGTTTAGGCAAGTCTAAACACCTCCTTTGATTTCCTGCTTGAAAGGCTAAATGGAATGGTATTTATAATTCTTGAATTCATATTATATGCATATAATTTATTAAAATCGCCAGTGGACAAAACATTTTAGGCTTTGTTTTGACTAAGCCACACATGGAGATGGAATATTGGTAGTTAGATTAAACACGAACTCATGAGCGTTAGTAAAATTTCATTGTTGATAAAAGTACTTCATCAGTATTTATAGAGAATCATAAATTTTGAGCAGCGTATTCACAGCTTTATTAAATAGAGATTATTTAATTAAGAATGACATAACTGCAATACAAATATTTACTTTTGGCAATTTCGCACAAAAGCCGCATTCATTTCGTTCGACACAATTCGACCATAGGCACATTGTCGCCAGAAGGGGAGACTTTGCGTCATTCGGGGGCAAACAAGATTCCACAATAAACATGTACCTCACAATTGAATGCTTTGTTAACGCTTAAAAAGAATATTTCTGAAGACTAGCTTAATCATTTTTAAATAAATTCAGTGGCTCAAACACTAAGGTAAATAAACAATAAGACAGTAGGCTATTGTTGAGCTACAAGTTTTCAATAAAGACTGGGTTTAGTGTGCAAAAAGCAAAAAATCCTGTCTCGTCGTCCTTTTTACCACACGGTGTGCTTGATTGATCGCATCTTACAAGTACATAAATTTTCAATTTTGTGGTTGATTTTAGAAACTGAAATATGTATATGTAGCACGAGGTACACAAAAGAATCATTTGAAACGAATAGACAATTACAAATACGCACCTGATATAATTTTATATATTTTTGTGGCACTTTTTTATTCTCAAAAAATTGATTCCCCGATAATTCTTTTGAATACTGACGACTTCCTCAGGTATTTTTCAAACTATTTGTTCGTTTAAATAGCTGATGGTTGGTTTTATACATTGTAGTTGTATCTGTATTTAGTCAACCCGTAAAACTACTCAAAATGTGATTAAAGGAGAGCAAATGTAGATGTATCGTTATTTTGTAAGAAGTATATTTCGATGGAACATAATGTACATTATTTTCATCAGTGTGATCTATCGTTAGGTGGCGCCGTGCAACCTACTGAATTTTATCGTCCGATGCAGTAAGAAGATACGAATTCAAAAGTTCTGATTGAAAGTTCGAATGTCAAAATTGATTGTACTATAGTATGCCGATTAACTACGTATGCATCTTAATTCTCTAAATCTTATCATAATGCCAAGAGAACTTTGATTAAAGATCTGGTGAATGAAAATTATAAACAATGTATTTTTTTTGCCATGACATGAAAATATTCAAAATAATTTTATCTCCTAAATCTATTCCATCGTTCTCATAATTTATCAAGGCTTGGTTTTCTATGAAATACAAGAAATTAAAAAAATGGGATATCATTTCAACCGTAGTCTAGGGTCAAAAAAAAAATCAAAATATTTTGCTCTAAGATTCCATGGTTCACCCATTTCAGTTATATTTCAGTAGCCTTTAATTCAGTAGTGTGCTACCTTTATTACAGGCGTGTCAGATACAAGTAACTGGATGAAGCCGCGGGTCGCCCCAGATAAGAAAAATCCAACTTACGAAATTTCTTCTCGTGAAAATATTGCTTCAGCTAATGTGAGATTTCCTACATACGGAAGGCCGGAACCCGAAAACTGCGTGTTGTGTTATTTGGCTATATAAGGTTAATGTAATGCAGTGCTTGAAGAAGGGGTGTCAATTCGAATTTAATATCCGAATATAGCGACCTTCAAATATCGTTTTTCGTGTTTAAAATAATACCGAATATGGCGCACATATTCTAGCGCCGCCGTCCACGTTGTGATTTAAAACATTTTACAACTATCTTATTTTTTACCGTAATAGAAGTCAATTTTTGCCGCCTGCACAACGCCAAAGGTAAACATATATACCGTTCGTAGTTTTTATTCGGTATTTGTCTGTTCTTTCATCTTTCCATTTGTACCTTTTCTATTTATTATGTCGAAATCTAATTCTGATATTTGTTACGGAATTTAACAATTATTGTAATTTATTTTCTTGGGGGCTTATAACGGTTTAGGGTACACGTTAAATGCTTACTTGCAAAATTTTCTACGTACAAAGGGGCTTCCGGAACGAATTAATTGCGTATGTTGAGTTTTTACTGTAGTTGCAAGCACAAAAAATTGTTTATTTTTGTTATTGATCTTAGGGTATTGTTAGGGTTCCTTGCAGAAATGTTGAGTTTAAACGCATAAGTTGAAAACTGTCATTCAAATCTATTGTCATACCGTCTTTAAACGAATTCAGTGAGAAACACGTTTTATAACACTTTGTATTTTGTAACAGGATTCTTGAAGCTAGTTTTTCTTATATGACAGTGGTACCAGGTACTGACATATTCTTTGCGACGCAAAGACGTTGGAATTACTTTCACGTACCAGTTAACTAAACTAAAAACTCGTTTCGCGGGCATACACCATTCAAAATTGACACTACTCCGCGGGCCGCTTTTTTTTTCGCGGGCCGCACTTCAAATAGATTTTTATATACAACACATACAATTTGTAATATGTACAAAACTGGGTTTATTTAAATTATGTGTCTTATATTTTTAGAATTTAAGTGACTTAATTTTTAAATATTTTTTCTACCGTCCACTGACTCTCTGATTTTTCTGATTCAAGCAAAAAAGTTTGTTTGTTTTTCTAGTAAGTAACCGTCATAATGTCGACTGATGGGGTGGGTACATTGCGATGCTTAGTTTCACTGTGTTCATCACTAATCTATATCTTGTTTGTTCGTTCCTGGGGTCAATTAAACAATAATTTTTTCGAATTCGTTTGCTACATGTCTGCATTCAATAATATATTTATTAAAGGATTATAAATTGTTGTCGGAAAATTGATTAAAAGACGTTTTCCATATTTTAAAGATGTCATAGAAATCATTCATTTATCAATAGAATTGTTAGCGTGTACTCGCTGGATGGCGTTGTGGAGCTATAATAAAACAATTTATTCGCGACCAATTTTTATCCTGATATACCAAAGCGCAGGTATGAAACTTAACCCAACATGTTCTATTTTATTGAAATAAAGTGACTCCATACTACGATTTTGTGGGCTATGACTTATTCGAATGAAACCCTAAAAGTGTTTAGCATTTATGAGTTTATTTCTGAAGCCGAATAGTAGTCACCGAATTTTTTGTTCCTGCTTGATTGTGGACCTGTGAATTTTCAAATCAAATCTACTGACTGACACCGTAGGCTAACATGTCTATGGCTAGTTAGAATATGGAAATCCAATTATATTGGTGTTTTATACAATATGTGCGAATATTCACCCACACTCAAAGAAACTCACAAGTATTACCAATAATTTATCTTAGCAATACACATCTAAATACCAATGATTATTAAAATAAAAAAAATTTATTTTAGAAACAAAAATAATTGAAAACATTTCCCATTTGTTGTGGCGCCTTTCCAAAATTAGAAACATATCAAATCTGAGACAATAGCAACATATTTATTGGCAAGATAGCAAATGATTGGAATTAAAATTTTTAACAATATAATACAAATAGTAGTTTTGAAAATTATGAATCCAGCGACTGTTCTGTACTCTGTAAAACAAAAATGAAGAAACATATGAACTAGATACATATTACTCATAATAGATGTGTTACTAGCCAGCACATTGAAAAGTGGGCATTTAGAATATTTAATATATTTTTATACGTTGGTCACTTGATCTTATATCCATCAGTAATATTCGACGACGATTGAAAAAGTGACTAAAGTTAAATATCACATCGCAAAACTATTAGTTTTGTAAAAAAAGGAAATGAAATAATAACATGAAGATGTTTCAAAATCATACCACATAATCATAATGAATATAACATTACTACAGATGTGCTTCCATATATTCTAAGACAGCGCATGTAGTCGAGTACTGATGCAATCGTCAGTAGAACTCTAAAAAAGAAAAAAAGCATCAATGAAATATATGAATAAGAGCTCAATTGTGGTTATTTGCGTTGCCTTTTTCTGGATTAATTTTTCTAAGTAATTAATAGTTGAAGTTGGGAGTTTTCTAAAAGACATTTTACATTAGTTTGTTTCCAAGTTTTCCTGGGTTATTTGCTAATTAAGAAAAATGCTGTATCACGTGCTGTGAGCGATTCCGACGTGCGCTTGCTCAACAAAAATACTGGAAAAAACATTCATGACATTATACATGATTGCACTTATCTGTTGTTAATAATATACCAATTGTAAATTGCATTTGATTTTTGCCTCTCATAAATATTTATTTTGTAAAACACATATACCTCATATATCTTAATTTTGAAAATTACTATTTTTTACTATATTCATTATTTTTATTATTATTTACCTACCTTGACTAAATCATACGATTTCCCTTCTTCAGAAAATTTTCGTCTTTTATGCAAACAAATTGTTGCAACAATCAAAACAAATTCCACTGCTGCTATTACAAATAATATGATATGCATTGTTGCAGATATCTGAATATAAGAAATTTTTATCATGAACGGAGGGAATAATCGATTTAGAAGAACTCCACGTAACTTGTAAATAATACACAACCATGTCATATTACTGAAGATAAAATTTATTGTGAACACAAACGCGCAGGGAAAAAGATCGGTTGAAAGAAACTGGTAGATTTTTGTCAAAACTCTGAATACAAAATTGCATAAATATTTTCAATGTTCGATCAAAACAATTACATCATATTTCAGTAAAGCCTATGTCATTTTGTACAATCGCTGAACTATTTCATTAGTCCGCTTGGAAGCATTTACATTTCAGCTACATTGAAACTAATTTCGAACGAGTTATGGATATGTTTAATAACAATCATGTAATTGTGAATCAAATGATTCATATTGAGTTACTACATTTTTGAGAGGAGGTTTTATATGGTTAAACTTGCTAGTATCCACCATGCATGGCAGCTTAATTCCATACTGTATTGCTTATTTCAGAGCATTTTGTAGCCAAATATGATACATTGATATCCCATTTATAACTCAAACCTGGCCTAGCTGTATAGTTTCTCCACGATAACCACAAAACATACCAAACATGCCGGTATAACAAATTGGGAGTTTTGTTGAATATTTTGAATGGAAACGAAATCGCTCGACCGATGATTAGGGAAATTCTATTCAGAACGAGCTAACATTACAATGAGGAACACATTGAAAATCCAACACTCATAGCATATATAGTAAGGTTTGGACCCCATTTTTTTTAGAAATCACATTTTATCGAAATGTGATAATTAGGAATAATCTTCATTACCATAATAACTTTGTAATAATTTTTGAGCAAATGAAAAACAATTAAACCATGAAAATGAAGTTGAGATTCAAATTAAATATGGTGTCATTTTTAGTTAATTAATTTCACAGCGTGGTATATAATCACAAAGACATGAAATAAGAAAATAGGAATAAACAAAATACCAAGTTCTGTGGACTGTCTTGAAAAGCAGATACACATTCAATCGTCTCGATTACAATCATTAGGATGGCAAAGTAGGCTGAAACTAGACCGAAAGTGCAGATAATCTGAAATAGGTTTGTCAATAATTCATGTTTTGGGTCTGAATTCCCACAGAAATTTTACATTGTGTTTGACTCGATCAAGCAATAATTATAATAAATCACGCTTAGATATACTACAGTTATGCACGTAAAATGCTTGATAAGTTTAAGTCAGTCGAAACTTAATAATAATTTTTATAATGGGACCCAATGGCTTTTCTGGTAATTACTTCCGCATGTCGAGTCGTAAATATTTTTATTCCAAATAATATTTACTATATTAGGCATCTGGATCTGTCCAACTGTGTTGTTTTATTGGTTCGGTTAATACAAACTACTTCCTAGACCGAATTGCGTTTTTATGTAGTGTTATTTAGTTGAATAGAGTGATCATATATGCATTGAGATTTAGAGCGTTTAGAAATAACTACCGAAAAAAAAAAATTATAAATTCGTTCTCCCTTTTGCTAATTGGGCGAATCTGGATAATTATTTTTTCACAAAATACTGACGTTCATAATAGGTCAAACCAATGAAGATTACAGCGTTTTCAAAGACAATAGCCCGATACGATTCTTGATTAGATCGTTTTACATAATATATACTTTATATGGAGTTGAACAAAAAAGATTTTTGAACAAAAAAAAAAAAACTTTTTCAAATAATCTAATGCAAATAGTATTTAGTAAAGTCCAAAGTAGAAATTAGGAGGTTAATACCACCTTTTTTAGATTTCTATAAAATATACCAGATAAGAGTATGGTAATATTGTATTGTTTAGTTAAGGATCATCGTACTGTATATAATTACATTAAGACATGCCTCACAACATTGTGGTATTTGTTTATAGAATACCTCTTGTAGAAACGTACAAAATACGAAGGCGGCAAGTGAGTAAGCTTCTAATTAATAGAATGGGATGTACAAAATTCTTTGTTAAATGATCGGCTCAGGGGAAATTTTTTCTCATTTTACAACCAAACTAAGTATGTATGGTGTTATAGATAAGCGCGTTCCGAAGCGTGTCCAATCCTTGAAGCATACGCGGCATAAGATAATTAATTCCTTTGAGGGAACAGCGCAATCGTGAGCTTTGCAAAAAGGGTAGCAATAGAATGAAGTCAGAACTCATTGAACGTACTGGATGGTTTTAGAGTGGTTCTCGGGTACAAATTCCAAGAACAGCTGGATCAAGTCAAGTCTTTGGAATATTCATTTGCATTAGCTTTCTCCAAGAAGCATGTTTATAAAAAATGGGACTGATCGTCAACTATGTCACTTTTGTTATTATTGGTTTTAATGCAAGAAATGCATAATTTCTGTCTTATTGTTTCGAAGAGTGTAGGCCATAACAACATTTTAGACAACGCTCACCAATACAGTTAAATGATTTTATACAGGGTTTTCAAAGCAATAAATTATTGTAATGAAAAAGCGCAAGTGTGGACATGATCTGTACATTTTTCCATTAAATTAATTTTCTCACAATCGCCCCACTATTACGATCAAATTCAATTTGAAAGCCTAATTCACGGCCTAACTCACGAGCCTAACTAGGTTCTGTATAAATGCTAAAAGCTTTTAACTATGAAAGTGAATGGCAGGAATTTTCCTTTTCGTTACAACCCACTCAATTTGTAGCTTTCGATGTTATATACATTCACATAAAAAATCGAATTGATGGAACAATTTTCCAAATTTACAAATGCAATACAGGGAGCTTCGCCGTAGTATCAAAAATAATTATTCCCTTATTAAACAAATTATTTGAAAGTCATCCGTAAATTATCATACTTGTGAGCAATATTATTACGACCAATTAGTTCAAAATATGCATCGAAGTAACAATGACAATTTTGGGGAGATTTTGCTCAATTGTTGCGCTTGAAAGTACGATAGTTTATACATTAGTTTGTTGGCATGTTTACAAATTTTAAATTTTTCACCTCATTAACCTTTGAACTAAAATGGATTTTTGAATATTCCGGCCAAATCTTTCATCTAGGACGTGATGCCAAAGTCATTTTGCTTCTAACAATTTCTCGAAATTTATTTGTTTATTTTGCTGTGAAATTTCTGAGAATGCTTTTATATCTCAAAATTTTTCAGGTCAACATCTGACGTCAATCGGTGTGATAACTCAAGAGATATCTGTCAATTAGTATCCTCCCATATAAGCGACATTACGAGAGTGCAAATTTTTCTGTACGCAATACTTAGTAAACAATTTTTTTACAAAATAAATAAATTACGCTTTTGACTTTAACTGATTTTCGAGACAGAACAATGTGCAATACTTGACTTGGAACGTAAAGTTGATTGGTTTCGTTTCACCTATGCATAACCAGAATAGTCTAGAATTATAGGAGCAATGATTTTTTAAAAAATGCTCAATTTTACAGGTTTGTAAAATTACAAATTTTCAGGTTTAGAGACGAATAATGTGCATGCTCGTTCTTGAATTTGTTTTGTTTCAAATGACAATTTTGGTACTATTTCCCCATTCACGTAAAATTTAAATTGCTTACTTTGTAAGAATGCATGTCGTCTTTATTTCCTCTGCACATCGCCCCCAAAACTAAAAACTGAAAAACAGTTGGAATTAAAAAAATATTTTATCGTCGGAAAAAAAAACACTAAAACTGAAAGTTACACTGATCGATGACACGATTTTCAATTGACCCTAAAATCAATATAAATCAACAATTTGCATAATTATTCAAGTTTATTGATACATTTTGAGAATGTATCAGCTCATATAGTCTCATCAGCTACTCTTTGGGACCTCTTATGAAGATTATTGAAGCATGGTTTCGAGTAATGATTTTGAATGAAATTAGTAAAATTACCATCAAGTGAAGTAACTACCCACTGGCGGGCTGTAGGCCATGTAATAATTATGGTACCTCCGACTTAATCACGTCGGTTAGATATACATAGCAATCTGTTTTATGTAATATACTCACAAATACAGGACACCATACACCGCTTCCAGCTGACTGATAAGTTTCACAAGGTTTACATGCTAAGACGAATGCGGATATACACATCGACATAATTGCAAAAAGTATTTGCGCAATCTAAATGTACAAGTAAAACACATTAAATATTAGCTTTCAATTTTTGGAGACATTTTGTATTAAAAGGTTGAAGTAAGCATATCTGAAGTGATAACAGAGATTGGTGTTCAAGTCGGGCGTTTCAGATGAGCCATCTGATGTGATATAAAAATCACAGTTAGATCATTTGATTTAATATAGAATTAATTGCCTAATCATATGCCAAAACATCCAAAGGGCATTTTGAGTGCTTTTTTCAAATGCTGTATTGCTCAAGTAAATTTCCACCATTGTACATTCAATCTATGATTGAATTGTTGATTACTTTAATTCATAGCTATTTTATACGTTATAATTGCAATGATTCTACTAATATGTCTTCACTTCAAGAACAAACAAAAAAATTGCATAGTTGTTGTGAAACCACTCACCGCTAAATGATGAACAATTGGTATTCGCTCTTTCAACCATATCTTTTCTTTTTCATTCTCCTCTCCCGAATATGATTCATTCAAATATATAAGTTCTTCCTGAGGTTCATCCAAAATCTCCGAACTGCTTTCAGCCGTTTTATCCGCCATCTAGTTGCGTCCTAATTTTACTGTAAAGTGAATGCAAGATTTTTGGAAATTAAATCAGAACCTGATAAGCGGATTAAATTTTGATAACAATCTGAAATCAATTTTGAAATCAATGAAATATTTCAAAACCTGCTGACCAAGCTAACCGTTCTAATAAATATATCCCTTCTGATAGTTATAAAATATTATTCCATAAAACGCCACATGGTACAAATTATATCATAATAAGCTTCGTGACTTCCCAAAGCGCGAATTTTGTGATCTCATTAAATATATCGTAAATACAGAAATACATAACGTTTTCATTGTATGAGAACCAATAAAATATTGCAACCCTTGTTCCGTCATTTCCACCGTCACTTTTTTTAATATAGCGCTTAATAGACCATAAAAAAAATTAAAATATCCTGACGTACTGATATACTGAAATAAATACTGATTACAACACGTGGCATATAAGTAACCGACCCAATTTGTTAACATTTGTGTGTGATATGCATTGGGTGTTAATTTCTCAAGCAAAGTTATTCTGTTCTTCCAGATCTGACCTTCCCTGCTAATTCGAAAAGCTACTCTCGTACGTCACGTCTTTAAGAGATAATCAGTGATAAACAAACTGAAAATTTTCTGCTTAAAATCAAAAAGTGTTACTAAATATGCCCCGGGCTAGGGCTGAACAATTAAACTTTCACAATCAGAATTACTTCACAGCACTCTCGAAGCCACAAGTAGACCGTTGATGACTTCAAATTGAAGACAAATCAGCTTGCTTTCCCGAGGGACTCGCGTCTGAAGCACGAAATTAATCTACAGACCTGTCGCATTGTCAACCTCTAAATATGTAAAAGACAAGATTGGTTTCGCTTTAATGATCAATACTAATGAAAAGGAGTGCTTCGTTAGATTTCTTCTGTGTAAATCTCCTCTTGTTAAATAGACGTTCTTCAAACCTCAATATCGAATTCTATTCAAGCCTACTGTTGTTAGTCACCTGCAAAGAATTCCCCCTTTGTTTTCTACACGTGAGTTAGCTCATATTGTTGACCCAAGTCTAGCTTGTTACCTTCTTAACTAATTTCATGCCTTTATGGTCACGTATTTATTGTTGAGCTTTAAAATAAGGTGTGTTGAGAAATATTTATGTTAGATGAACGTGAAGAACAATATCCAAAGATATAAATCGCGAAAAGTAAACATTATTTCCCTTTTATCCGACTTTATGACGCCTATGAAGGTTTATTATAGCTGCGTCTTATAGCTCATATTTAATTGTGTTCTTTTTGATTGATATTACATATAGCATTCAATGCAGTCATAATCTGTCTCGTTTTGCTACATTCAATTTCACTTACACGGGAATCCTAAACTCCAGTACGAGAAAAATCCCAAATCTTTTTCGCAATGTGATCTCCACAATTTGGCCTACAATTCAACTTATTTTTTTATCCATTTTAAAGCCAGAGGTCTCTGTATAAACACCCTCCTTACTTTTATCCGATACTGTTACCGCAGAAAATCGCTGCTTTAGTGTATGCAGCATTTGAAAAATAGAAATAATGTTATTGGTAAACTTTAGCACCAAGAGTGAAAATGTTCCATTCCAACACCCAGAAAAAAGGTATCTTTATCTTTTTTGCACATGTAATAGTATCCATTATAAGTAAGCAATTGTTAATTAATACGACAACACAAACATGTGGTCTTAGTAGGGTAGGATTTTCATTTTTATCCTGGAGAGAAAAATCCGATGGTACAACTTTAACCGTATGCGGACTACGGCCTCTCGTCCTTTGCCAGTCTGTATCGAGTATGAAAATAGTAAACCAGTTATTTTTTTTCAATTTTATCAACCTGATGTAAACAAACAATATATAAGCAAAAACTGGTAGATGGTTCTCCCATAAACCGATTGTTTTACAGATTCTGGTTCGCAAATGCAAGGAACTGACAAGTCCCATACTTTATTTATAAAAAGAGTTATGTGATTTAATACAAACATTCGTAACGAAAAATCTGGTCTGCCCGTTTTTCTGAATCTATGAGTGCAATATATGTTCTGGTATTATGGGTAGGGAAGGCCTAATACGTCCATTTACATTTTACAACAATGCATGTTTTTAAACTGCATAATATATAGATTGTTTTATTCTATATTGAAACGAAATTTTAAACAGCATGTTGCAACAACGCTGGCTAGCCATTTCATACGGAATCAAAGCGTCTCGGTATCGAAAGTATCCCGTTACAGTTTCCCTTAAGTGCACTTGCTGAATGCACAAGCATGTACATTGTAAAAGTGAAAATATATCCACATTTTACGGAGTTATTATGCTTACATACGATATCTAAAATATAATTTCATTGTGTATTGGCCTTGCCTGGTGGGGTGGTGGCAATATTTTTTTTATTCAAATACTTAAAAAATGTACGCCGCGAGGTGGTATAGTTGAGCAACATACGAAAGGCCTTTTTGTTTCAGCAATATACGTGAAACATTGCGAAATACACAAATCGGCAATTTGCACAAATTTGGTCTAAAAATGAAAATGATTCTGCAATAGTTCGAAATTTAAATTAAAAGTGGCGCCACCTTTTCACCGTATCAGAGATTTTACACAATTTCAACATCCGAATGTGTTGCATATTTATGATAAGAGTCGTTTTCCCACGAAATTATCATCCAGGAATGCCGCAGGAGATATTTTGGCACCAGTTCAGATTGAAATATTGCACTAGCGTGTAAACGGCAAAAGAACATGTAAAACAAAAGTGCAACAGCATTTTTCAAGCAATAACTATTCCACGATGGAATGTATTTTGCATATTTACGTACAATGCGTATATTACGGTTTCCCAAAATTTAAATTAGACATCATAAAGTTATAAGAAATACTAATTCCCCCCAAATTATTCATTTCGTGATATATTGCTCATTTTGCTTGTATAGGGCCAGTATGCTACATAGTATATACACTATTTTTTAAATATTTAAATGCAAGTATATTTAAGTTAGGAACCAAAGTTTTGTGTTGCACCTTAAAATTGGAGAGGTGTTTGAAATTTTAGAGGAGTGTGGAGGAGTCACTGTACAGTAACTTCTTTAAAACTACTGTTTCGGACAATACTTCAATCTGGTCACGACTCATATGAGGTTCAATGTCAATTTTAAAACATTACAGTTCAGAGCTAGTGACTTAAGCTTCAGTTTATGCTAAAACTTTAACACATTTCAATTCTTGACCGAATGTTTGAAAGGTAATGGTTAACTTCGATCAGTGCTTCAACAAAGTCTTGCTAATTGTAGTATATTTTATACGTTTATCTCAAATAATTATATCTTATTTTCTTTTGTCGTGACAACATACGGAAATGGCAGGTGACATTGCACTGTTTCAACCTTATAATTGAGCCTATAACAACTGTTATCACCAAATCATGATTTCCGAAAATTATGAATTACAACACGAGTATCAAATAAATAGATTATTGAAAGGAAAATACAAGGACGATTCGAAATTCAAAATATTATCATATGCAAAATGGGAATTGCTCCAAGTATAGAGTATTTTTCTTATTCCAGTTAAGTCCTTGAAAACTTTTCATACAATAGTTTGTTCATAAATATCTGTAGTATTGATTTTCAGTACAAAATATGACTTATTGGGATTATTGATTTTCTTATACTTCGACGGGATTGCGTTTTTTGGATTGCGATCCTCAGTTTATTTATATACCTATAAAACTGAAATATCGCTTTGAAATTAAACAGCATATAAAAAATTGTGGATTTCAGAAAGTAATCATAATTTAAATTGAGTTCACCCATTACAACTAAGAACAGCTCGTGATAAATAACCAATAGAATGCATAGGAAAAGGATGTACATGAAAAATCTGTTGCTGCAAAGAAACATCTACCTGCCATCCAAGAGGCCGGCTGACCAATTCATAGTTATTCTAAAATAAAATGGTTGAGAGAGTAATGGTAGATTAAAGCTAACTCAATAATCAGTTTCGATTTACAAAATTATGGGATTCTCAAAAAAGTTATCACGATTTTTTAGTTTTGATTTTACATAAACATTTCTTAAAAATATTTTCCGTTTTTCAAATTCGTGTAAATTTTGAATTCATATTTGGAATCAACCACCAAATCAACATACAATATTCGTATTACAATAATCATAAAAATGAATAACCATATACATATCCGATAACTTCGCTGACAAATGTAGCCATGACAACAACTGGTCATCCATTAGTACAAATTGTATTTTAATTTTTTTATTTACTTGTTCATTCGTGCAGAAAATGGGTGTATTTAAGAAGATCCGACTCAAGTAATTATTCTTGCAAATTATCGATCATTTCAAAACGTTATATTTTTATTACACACTGGAGCGAATACATCAATCTCCATGGCTCTTTTAAGGCTGAAGCAACTAACCGTTTAATTCAGGACACATTTATATATATACCCCTAGAGCTAATGTGCGGCGAAATTAGGATTTCAAAATCACCATTTTTAATGTCAGACACCAAATGCCAAACCTCTTGAAATTGTCTGTTGTACATGACTGCAAAATGGCGACTTCCCATCCTTGGCATTTGTGATACGTTTCAACTTAAAAAAAAGTTGGGTTTTTCTGCTAAAGATGAAAATGCAGAAAATTCATATAAAATTGCATGTATTTCCAATCTTTTACACCTTGAGATTACCAAGAGATTAAGCCGAAACTTCAGTAAAATGTGGTAAATTTCCTTCGTTTCTTAGCAGTGTGGTTGTAATTATAATTTCTATAGGTCGAAGACAATTACTGAAAAATATGTTATCTATTTATACTAAAGAAGAAAAGTGGGCAATTATCGACCACATTGTTCGGTTGGCGTTATGCAAGTAGTTTTTATTATATTAAAGTTTTTCTTAATTGAAAAATATTTATGCTTAGATCTCTTTTAAACAGTTAGATGGATAACAAAAAAAAATGTGATACCTATTTAACAATTATTTTGACGTAAGTATTTCTTTTAAAAAATTATTGTCAACATCACAACCATAGCTTCGTCAAACTTAATCAGATTTTATCAAAAATTTTCTAATTTTGATTTTATTCTATCATATTACTTTTACTGGTATCATTGTTAAATTATTTGAATGACGAATCTGTGATATCTCTAATACCATTCGCATGCGAATCTTTCATATCTCATAACTCTGTAGTTGGTCTCTGTCGTGTGTCAAACACAGAAGATTTTATCAAAATCTGTAATATTGTTTCCGTCGGGACATCCTTTTTAGTCAAATTTTTTTATTCTCTTCCCTGATTTATGACATTATGTTACACGAAAAGCGATGCCCTTTTAGTTGCAATAATTGCATTTAATCATCTTATTATATTATTTGTTCTCTGAATCATACTAGGCGTCTCAATGTCTATAATACTTCATCAAATTATACCACATTTTAATGAAATATTTTGTATCATGACTGAATCTGAATTATTTTTATAATTTCAACAGACGAGAAAAAGTTTGCATTGTGGCCTTTTCCCTTTATAGTCTTTTCAAAGTATAGTAATTAGACGCCACGCTATCATTCCACAACATTATTACCGGTATCAAATTTGACAAACTGCTCCATGCATTTTAATTTTATTACAGCAAAAGAAAAAATGTGGAAAAAAAAATTGAAAGTCACAATAGGCCGTGTACAATATTCACAGTGCAAAATTAAACAACCATGTTAATTAATTGATTTACAAAAAAAATGCTTGCAGCTTAAATCTTGGAGTCGGTTTTATTTGTTCAATACTTGGTTGTTATGGATTGGTGTCATTTACGGTAACTTTTATTTCAAATAAAATTTTTATATTGAACTTCTACTGAAATTTTACAACGATCATAACTAGAAACATATCAACAAAATTGTGTTCATTTCTAGTTAAAATGTCTCAAACAGAATTATTCTTTGCCTCGAGATTGTTTGTGATAACGATCATAAGTTTTGTATTTTCCAAAAGCATAATGGACAGTTCAAACCAAGCCAGGCCATTTGGCTAACCTCTAAAACTCACAAAATGTGTGTGTATGTGTGTATATGTGTATATGTATATACCAATGGTTATACCCAATAAGTGTTTGTCAGTATTTAGGAAAGAATGGCCTGGGCAGATCGACATCTTGCGTGAACTCGTCGGCTTGTTTTTCTTCCAGAAAACATATTCATTGCCATTTCGCATCTTCTTATTTTCTTGTGAAAATAGCACATTCTTTTGTATCCACTCTCATTACATCCGGTTCTACAACAAACTGCAGCTTGATGTTGGAACGGATATAAATCTTTGAACGGCGCTCGGTATCTGAAGATAACTGTGAAAATAATAAAAAATTTTTATAAAATAAAATCACGGTCAACGATGTTTGAATATGAGTGGTAGTACACAATTTTGGAATTGCATTTTGTGCATTCGTCATCATGTCGTCGCTCTTTATGTTTTAAAAAATTAAATACATCAAGTTTCCCTGTACAAATAATGACGACTGATTTATCGGAATTTCATTTTTTTATTTTATGATTTAATAAATAAAAAATCACACAGCTTATTATTTTGTCACAATGATTCATTTCTCCTTATATACTTTCTTCTTATACTTCAGAAATCCTATTTTACAACGTCATCAGTTTTATACTGTTTGAATAAGAATGTACTCACTATGAATGCGGTTGAATGGAAAGGGAAAATCGAACGACGCGTCTTTGCAAAACCATCTCATAAAATCTTTTCCATTATTGCCACACTTTCGAAGAGTTCCGCTGGATCGTCGATTCACTGCTGAGTCCACATTTCCACAACTTCTCAAAATAATCACTACAGCAAGAAAAATTCCAACAATACATCCTTGACGATAGATCATTTTGACGCAGTATATTCAAAGCAAAGTTACTTAATTTTTCTAAAAGCAAATAAATTTTTTTTTAAATGTAACTTCAAGTCTGACCGTTGGAACTACAATCTGTCTCACTCTCACATATCTTGATGTATGCTCAGGATAATGGTTAATATTTCTTTTTCTGTATTATTAGTGTAAAATCAAATGTCCAAATTTCGATGCATGTTATATATATATCTATTGATTTCGGTTAAGTACAGATTAAAGTACCATCGTCCATTGCGCAGCCGAAGCAGTCGCAATTAACCAATTTTAAATCATATTTTGACGTTTCTAAGCGTGGATGAAAAATAACTTTTCTAATAATAAATATACTCAACCAAAAATTAAGTTTAATTGTGATTAGAGTGGTTGGAACTTCCTCAAATTCGTGACAAATTCAACAAAATTTCATAATATTCATATCACAATTATTTCTTAGTCTATTCTGGGTCAATGCCAATTTATAACGAGACAATAATTGGTCTGTTTGGATGATTAGAGTCTCTTTAAATAGTAGAACAGGCGATTTTAAATTAATCTCCATTATTGAATATTATGTAACGTTGGCATGTAAACGTTGTTTTGTTCTTACTATAAAAAATATTTTATCGTATTTGGAGCAATATTCATTTAGGCTCAAAAGTCTGTTTAGATAATTAGATATGTCACTACCTTTCTGCAACGAAAACTTGTTACAAACTATCTTTTAGGTAAATGGCCATTTTATGCGAAGATCTGCTACTACAAACTATATTTGAAGCCCTACCGGTCTTTTTCAGCATAACCAATTATTTTATCTACGTTCAAGTGTAGGTTATGATCTCGCCATTATACTGACCCCGACCGAATCCCTCTAAATGAACATTCACTTATTTTTTAGGAACACGATTTTTGCCGTCTTCATTTATTTAATAAAAACCCAAGCATTTTTACTTGCAGCCAACGATGTTTCTTGTTGCAACGCTCACAGAATCACAAATAACCATCTATTTGTACTCTTAGTTCTTACCATAATCAAGTAAATATATTCGACTGACTTAATATTCATCCACAATCTCCTTTTATAACAATATCTGTCAAATAATCAAAAAAAAAGAGAAAAACATTTGCTATTTGCATGAAGTACTTATTCTAAAAATAAATTACGTGTTCATTGGCGCATCTGTTTCATCTTACCAATCGCGGGCTATATGTGCCAATTTTACATGGTAGGCCAAGCGTGACATATAATATATAATTTGGATGCTAAACATAAAAGTGTCAAACTTGACGACGTAGTCTTACAAATGTAAAAAATGTTTCACGAAGTAGTTCTCTCCGTTTGGCCAGACTTGAAACAAGGTACTTAGGAGCGTCATGTATTATCGACAACATACACCAAATACTAAAATATCGTTAGTTGTATTTCTCTAACAAGTGTAAACCAACGATGGGGGTTGCCGCATTAGGGCGATTAGCTGTGGCAAAACAATTTTGAGCGAGGGAATAGAACTGTAAACAAAATGATCTTTATTACCTCAACCTCCATATTCTTATCACCGCCGACGACAAAACATTTCTAAAATACAACAAATAGAGTATTGGTTAGCGTGGAGAATCGGTATCAGCCCTGAACCTAAAAAATGTTAACTTCACCTAATAACCGTTAGCGCTTGAGGACTTAATATTTCAAGGCAGGAATATAGTTTTTAATGAGCCCAAGCAAATCTCCCAAAGCTAGAGTCATTTACATTGAAGCCGTAATGAATTTGACGGCTTTTTAATTGTGAAGTGTGAAGGACGTCAATTAGAGTTATAAAGAATAATGTGTATTTCCACCGCATATCTTACTTATAACACATATTAATTTGTGTTCTGTTTTCGTCCTCATGGAAATCTCAAGTAGTATATCACAAAGATTATTAAGCGTTTTTGCATATAACATAACTAAATGTCGAATTTACGTTCAAGTTCGTGGAATGCGGCATATTTGATTATGGTATAAATTCGTGATTATATCTCTGAATTAAATTGAGTTGCAGGAGAATCAATTTTTGCATGATATTGAAACAATTTCAAATGAAGATTTTATGTTGTTTGTATATCATTCAGATAAATGAAAGCCTTTGTTATTATGTTGCTATATTTCACTCTTTCTGTTTTTGTAAGAATTCGCCCTGTACTATTTGCCTCTATTCAGATGGTCTATTAGGCAACAAATATAGTTTTATATGTCAAAGTCAGATACATTTCCTAGTTTTTCAAATAGAATTTGGCAGGTCATCTTATACTCTATTTGTGATTGATATTTTATGTACACGGTATTATGAATGTATTGTCCGCTTATCGAACTATACAAGAAACTGATTAACTGCTGAATCATTCATAGCTGACGGGATATCGAGTCAAGCCACTTAAATTTACACTTAAGTAGTGAGTAAAAAAGGTTTCATGGAGTTTGATATTTAAGTTCAAGTTTCATCAGATGCGGTCAACGAATCTGAAAATACTTTCTACTTTGAGCCTTGCCACCACCCACGCATTAGGATATGCATCCTTATCATGTGTAGGTCCGAGAGTCATCGTGCAAAAATCTTTCTGAAGCATGTTGCGTGACATGTTCAAAAGTACAGCCTTGTGAAAAACGATCTTGTACATTGTATTACGTACTTAACATTCTGGGCGAGTTAATCCAAATCTTACAATTAACTAGTTGCTGACAGTTATGATCTAGTTTCGCCACCCAGTGATTTGACCTCTCTTACGTATAAAACACTTTAATGTCAATGGGTTACACTCAACTTTGCACGATTTTCGATATCACAACAGTTCCAGATAAATCCAAAGCGTTTGTTTGTGATGGTTAAAAATACAATCAACTCCTTCTTGATGCTATCGATCAGCCATGTGATAACACGCTGAGAGACACTCGTTACATAGGGTCCCAAAATCGCAACAAGAGAAAGCTGGAGCTTTCGCTAAATACAACGTTCTGTTATCGTGTTGGACCGCATCTCCAGTATCATGTATAAACATGCATGCAGATTTCTAAATATTGCTACCGATACTGCTTGAACGGTGAAAAGACAACCGACTTCTGCATATTTGTTTGCGTGTTATTTTCCGTTGCTATTTAGTTCCCTAAACTACCAGTATCGTGTGAATCGGGGTCGTGAATTCCAGAATAAATTTGAAAAGTTTTATTATAATTTTCGAAAACGGGTTTATCGATTTTGAATGACTATAGATAGGCATTTTTCGTTTTATAATTCAAACGTGAGTATCACCTCATCATTGTCCTGTTATATATTTCAAAATATGACAATAGGAAAATTACGTTGGGTATATGAGCATAACCTCCACCGGTTCTGGTTTAATTCATTTTTTCCTCCGTGTCACCAAAGTGAGCATGACTCAATCCATCAATGATGTTTGTAAAAAAATGAAGTGTAAAAGTTATCCAAATGTATTTCAAGTGTTGACTTGCATGAAATATACAAATTGCGATATACTAATTGACTTAATGGTTTAAATTCACAAAATGGTCGCCATGTCATAATAACAAAAATATCAAAAATCTATGTAAGATAAGGTCGCCATGATATGCCATGTATGATCCGGGTTTGTTTTGTTCATTACATCATTGAATTAATATTTATATTGAATCCAGGCTTGACATAGGGTTCGGGGATATTATACCACTGGAAAAAAAAGATTCGGCAATCGTGTGCTGGATTTAATTTATAATTGGATGAAACTGATGAAGAGGGCTATCAGCGTTACGTCATTGTAGTCAAACAAACTATATAGTTTAACGTAGCATGGCCCATGTATATTACTAGTTGCGTGAGAACTAGATGGGTGGCGGTATGGAAAGCACCAGTTACGTAATGCGTGGTCACCTGCTGTGTGTCATGCCATGTTTGAAAAATGTCGTAATACGAAGTTACGTCATTTAAGTAAAGCAATCACATCAAAGAGACACTAGAAGAGCTGAAGACTCTTCCGATGGCGAGCAAATCCACCCATTGAACATTTAATTTCCGCTATGTCACTTCAAATGTTTTATTAAATGCCAAATGGGTTAAAGTGATTAATTACACTAAGCCAGGCCGCTTTTCGATGTGACCGAATTTTTTATAAAGTAAAATAGGATCAGGTAATCCCATATTTCGTGATCTCACAATTGACCCCCCATTGAGTCCCACACAAACACGATAGAACAAACATGGTGAGACCATGGTTAACTTTGGCTTATGTTAATCAGATATAAATAGCTATTCTAGCTAAAGTATTACATAAGGTCTCAGCCTTTAAATGAAGAATCAGATCCGGTATTCAAATTGAGTTTCCGGAAAGTTATTTTTTCGAATCATATAGTATATTAAACTTTAATTAAAAAATAACAAATACTTACAAAATGAGGCTTCTAATTTTCCTAGAATATATAAATTTAACTAACAAAGACTATGTTTGTAATTCATGTCGTGGGAAATTTTTCTCAAAATGAAAATTGATTCTATTCATTTTCTTTTATCAGTTTTTCTTATTTGTAAGTTGTTTTAAGTACACGGAAGGTACAAATTACGTTTAATTAGTGAGGAGAAGGTGATATTCTCCCACTTAATTCTGGCATTGTTTAGTCACAAACAAAAAATATTGCATAAATTAAACCAATGAAGCTGAAAATGTTTCGTGGAACAGGTGATAGTCACCATGAGTCCAGACAGTTCATCTGGAAATGGCACCAGACATTTTCTTGGAATATGTCCTTGTGAAATATCACTTCAAATGACTTGTCTCCGGCATAAGGTTTATTGGTTTATTATATGATCTTTGCGCAATTTCCTTTTCTAAATTCCATTCTTAGAAATAGGTTTCCGTGTTAGATAATGCAAGCAATATTATTCAGTTATAATCTAAGGCCAAGCCCATTTCAGCAATCTCTGCAAGCACATGTGGCAATGAAGCTACGTTGGTTATAAGTAGTGTAGTGTAAGTAATGGATGTTCGTTCATCACTGTTTCAACTTATTTTGGCCGTTCAGAGACTCACTGTACGGACATTTCTTCTTCTTGAACAGAACATGAGGGAGGCGGGGTTCATGTAGGAGAATATGTTGTAAACATAGTAGTAATGTTCTAAGAATTTGTGTAGTTGTATATAATTTTTGTTCCCAGGCAATGTATTGTCGAGTTGTGGGCTTGCACTACTCATCGTGGGAATGTTGGACATACCACAGAAAAGAAAAAAAACCTACTTGTTGATAGATCGGCTATATATAATAAAACATCATTGAATGGATCCGATTAAAGAACACGCTGAAAGTCAATGTAATCATGTCACCAGATACCAGGCGATCATGGCAGCATTCTTTCAACCATCATCAATTTACTGTGCTTCTACAATAAAAAAAAACATTGAACATATATATATATTTAGACGTGCACAGCGCAAATCATAAACAACAATGAATAATTGTGTACTGAGAAACGTGAGCATATATATTGGGCTAGAAGTAAAAAAACATTTTTAAATCTTGATATAAATTGGTTAATATGAAGCATAGATAGATCATAAAACGCGAGACTCATCAATACCTCATGCCTAGTTTATGCATTTCCTAATTGACCTATTATAAATATTGAGTAAAACAGTACAGAGCTTGCAATTGCAATTGTCCTTGCAACAATGCCCTGTGGTCTATATAATCATACTGTCAAAGTCGTTCGCGGTTTACTATTTCAGTACGATTTGCAGCATTTACTCCTTTATACAGTTGCTTTAACCTAGTACAAATTCCGATAGCGTGTTTCAACATGCATCAACGATGTGATACTGAAATATTTCTGCAGTAATGTAATTGAATTGGAGTATATAATATGCAAATATGCCAGCATTTTTGTAGCAAAATATTACTTGGCAAAATTCATTAAAAATTCCAAGTAAATATTTTAATTTCTTCATTTACTAATATTTAATATTTCACGAATGACCTCAAACATTATAAGGCTAGAAAAAAAAACTTTAGTTGAAAACTCTAAGCACATATGAAATTAAAAGAAACTTTACCATAGGTATTACTGAAGTAACCCGTTATAATTTAGGTTGATATTTTAAATTTGGATGCATCACTTATTCTAGTATGGCAATCAATTATATTTTCTTACAGTTTGACATTCACGTCAGTCCGCGTATCGTTCCTCACCAATGCAAATATTTTTTATCAAATCTACCTCCTTGTTAACTAAGCCATTAGATTTCTCCCTCAACATGTGGAAAACATTGAAGTGAACTGGCTTGTTAATATATATCATAAATTACTGTTACTTACTACAAATTAACGTTATATTAATTGCAATAATAATAATAAGGCCAATTTTCATTTCACTTCAAGGTAAACTGACTTTACCTGAGCTATTCATTTGCTCTCAAACAAGCAAATGATTGACATGTATAAAATAAGAAGTTGCATTGGAAATTAAAAAATCTACGATTGTCTTCAGTCTAGCTTTTATTCTTCTTTGAAATGTCTGCGGAGTTGTTAGCTTGAATAACAAAATAATCATGTGCCATACTCACTAACGACGACATACATACCTAAATCGTTGGATGAAGATTTTGGAATAAGATGGAGATTTTCAGTAATTTGAATCTAATTAATTTGATGATGCATTCATCCCAATCAACAGTTTTTGCAGACTCCTATTCATTATCTAATATAGTGGTTTCTGAGTTTTTTTGTATCTTCAAATTTAATTCAACAAGATTATTACATTTACATATAATATTGGATATATGACATAAAGTAAAACAATGTGAAAAGTATTATATTGAAATTTAAAAGATTTATTCTCCAAAAGATTAAACTCTAAGCCAGCAGAAATTTCCTTCTTTTGGTAGATTTTCTTTTATACAACAAATTAGCAAAAGCAGTATTGGTCAAATATTTGTATGATTCGGAAGTATCAGCATACCAGTGAAGAGGCAAAGCTGTGGATGGAGCGGGATTACAAAGTTTTCCAGGATAAGAACGACATGAGTGTCACGCAACACTTTGAAGTTTAAACTTAAATACCTCTTATAAATGATTTTGATGTCATGTGTTTGTACAAACAAGTAATTAAAATTTTAACTTACGTTTGCGACGAAAATGACATGAGTGTACGTCACATTACGAGCAAATAATTATTGATCGGTACCGGTTACGATACAGCTCCGCCAGGTGGTTAACTTTTGTCATTGTTTAAATTATATATTTACTGGGCGTTCCAGTACATTTGCGGTACAAAAACAAAATGATAACATGCACGATTCTCTTCAGTTGGTAATGCAATGTTGTGTTTGATCTAAACGCTTTGCGAGAATTTAAAACCGAAAAAACATTTGCTTGATCGTTTCCGAATGGTCACGTTTACAAGGAAATTATGGCGACATTAAAAACGACATAGATGTTTCTCTAAGTTCAGACATATGAATTCAGGATCGAAACATGCAATGAACCTAATCAATAATATACTTAATTACCTGCCCATATGCAGTAGTACGTCGGATTTAAATTTTCAAAGATTTCAAAGATTTTCAAAAAACAACGAAATTTAAGTCTATAATGTTAATAATATTTAATATTATGATTGCTGATCATTTTAAGATTTCCACAACCTTTGTGCTTTTACTCAAAAAATATACTTCCACAGCTTCCATGTATCTGCATACTTATATAAAAAATGTATGTAAAATATTTTTGACAGCATCTTCTAATTTTTTTTCTCTTACTCTTTGTTTGTCCTGTTTGCAAAATAATATCATGAAAATCAAGTTGCACGGTTATTTGTGTTCTCATTTATTTATATGAGTGTTCCACTAGAGGGGGTAAAGAACTTTTGTGTCATATTATTGATTTGTAAAAGGGCCCCTTGAATTATGTCTTATATAACATATCATTTATTTTAAACAATTTTTTGATTTCATTAAACGGACGAGTGAGGTTTTAAACGTCCTGCCTCCAGTGGATTGTGGGTGACTAATGGAGCACTTAACGTATAAGATTGTCCACATAAAGACGGTATAGCAGTCAATACCATATTTGATAATGTAATGACATGTTATCTGTTAATTAACTTAAGTTAATTGTTGGTTACACCACGGCGCCTTTGTAATAAACGTTGGTTAAGCAAGGCACAGAATTTGAAAATTTGCCAAATTTACTACCATTTTATTACTATTGGTTGTCATATTATTTACTCGAAATATTGAAAATACATTTCTATATTACTCGCAGAGTTATAAACCCATGTTAACATTGTAAAATCGGTCATTATAGATATATTGCTCCCAATCTCTATCTTCTATATTGCAATATTATTATTGAAAAAAAAAACGATCTAATTTCTAAAAGGCATGCGGTCTCGACCTCAAACCGCGTATAATATAGAAGAAAACCCAAAATTCATGCTTTGCATGATGAGATTAACAATTGTTTAAAATTGAATTACATCAGTATAAGAATACGTTTTGTTATTCTAAACTTATTTTGTTTTCTGCTTCATTGAGACACTTCAGGTAATCTACTCAGGCAAACTGTCATTATTGAATTCAAATTACAACAAAAGATCAGACGTTGTCGATCTGTCAAGTTTTGAAATTAAAATTAGAAGTAGTAAAAAGCAATCAACAAAATTTATTCAACTGTATCCGTGCTGTTTAAAATCTGATTGTAAAAAAATTCCCCTGTACGTTTTTTGAATTTACTCTGAATGGTTATTTTTGTAGAAAATAAATTGGGAAAGTTGAGTTTTACTCAATGTGTTGATATTTTTTTCAAGGCACATGTTTGTTACGAAACAATAAAAAATTTTCACTGCGGCAATGATATGCTACCTGAATCCTCAAACAGAGGGATATATCAAATATTAAACCTGCACTGTTTTTTCCAACTAGGAAAAATGTCTGGTCTCTAGTGCCTAGTCTCTAGACCACTGGTTCTCAGCCAGGGGGCCATGGCCCACTGCTGGGCCACAGTAAGATTTTGAGGTGGGCCATTAAAAATTGCTAGTTTTATTTATGTCACAATAGTTAATTTTGATTGTAGCAGCAATCAATGACGATGCTGTTTTCTGCTACTGAGAGGTAATTCCCATTTTAATTATAAACGTTGAAGTGTTCATTTTCGCAGAAAGATCTTGATTTTTCTTGTAGTTTTCCCATTACAATAAAAGGTTGATGGGCCACAATAGTTTTTGGGCAACAAAAATGGACCACAAAAGAAAAAAGGTTGAAAACCACTGCTCTAGTAGACGATATAGTCGCTGTTTTTTTTTTAATTTTGGGTAAACTCCGACACCTACTGCGCAACGGATTTAAGGAGCCGTTGCATATATCAAAGCAGAAATTCCACTGAGACTCACCATTCGGCTCAAGCAATGCTATGACTTTCATTAGCGCAAAGACCTAAACCCTTATATTGTGAAATTCACGCAAACATTTTATATCTTACTTTATTTTACATAGTGATAAACTGTAAATAAATTGATAATAATAAAGTGTCACAGTGTAAGAACACATAAGTAAGTCACGATTGAATCAAAATTTGTCAAATATAATAAAGAAAAAATGGATTGTCAACTCATGCTGACATAGAAGTTCGTCATCAATTTCGGTGTGAGTGAGAAATTGTGCTATGACAGTTCTAACGAAATGTCGTATTCTCAACAAAATGTTTATGAAATGGAATTTGAGAGACGACACAATGACAACCGACGAGATCTTCTTCCTTCTCTCGTTTTCGGATGGACATGTCTCCTTTTCTCGCACGACTTCAACTTGTGATGATATTGACACATTCTTTGATAAGAACTTTCTGGACATCCTGACCTGCAGCATACCGATGCTTGGTGTTGAAATGGAAATAAATTTTTGTACGGAGGTCGGAATAATCGAACGACTAAAAATATAAAAAATAAATATAGGTGATTGTTTGAATTCATTATTATCATGCAACGCACCCATTAATGTTTTTAAGACACTGTATAGGTGAAACATTTCGAATCAGTCACCGCAAAGGCTATAGTAAATTGCATATTGTGGGGTAAATATAGACAATATTGCTGTAATATTCCAATACCGCTAGTAAGCGAAAAGAAGGAAAATTTATATTTATGTGGAGTAAAGTAAAAACCACTAAAATTTTTCATCAAAATCTGATAAAATTACACACCACCGCCAAAGAGAAAAACTCCAGGCAAACTTGTATTTCGATTATCAAAATTGATTTGGATTTATTATTAATATGAACTATTTTAAAGAATTTAAGAATTAGCTTCTAAATCAATAAATTCAAAGTTAATTTAACAACATGAAAGCGATTATTGCGTACTTTTTGTCAGCACACATAACAACAACCTTTAAAGTAAATACTGCACTTACGGTGAATTCGATTAAACGGGAACGGGAAATCAAACGTTTGATCTCTGCAGAACCATCGAAGAAAATCTCTGGCATCGCTTCCACATCTTTGAATAAGGCCGTTTGATCTGGCATCGCTTGACCTGATTTGACTTGATATCGTCAGCAAAATGATGACCGATGCTGTCGCAGTGAAAAGTCTTAATGAACTCATGATTTTTCGATATTAGCTATTGAGCCTTTTAATTGATTCTATACCGTTAAAAAATAGTATCTGAAATTGATAGATAATAACAATAAATACCAAAAGTGTTCAATAAGATTACTTTTATTTGACGAAACAAACTTATACATTTCACTGCTTTTGATTGAAAAGCCATTGTAACTCTTTCTGTATAATTCAAATTGACTCCATCTCCGAATCAAAATTAAACTTTCTCGCTGTTTTTTATTTTAATATTTGTATAAACCATATAAAACCTAATGTAAATATACAGTATATTCCCATTTAAGTTTAAAATATCTAGAGCATTAAATGTATATGTATTAGAGACTAGAAAATATTTCGCCTTGGTCGCAATATTATTGCAGTACTAAAGGACTAAATACAATTTATTTCAAATTCACAGGCAGTATAATATACTATTCCCTAGAAATATGGAATAAATGACCAAGCTTCAAATTTTTGGAGCTTAAATACCTTTCACGAGAGTACAATTTCGATAACACGTAATTAATAGGAGAGTACTCGAAAATAAATTTTAATTTCGAGCAAATCCTTGTTACTAAATATGATGTTATTTCGTATAACCCAATGGTTTTCAAAAGTCTTATAAAATATTCTTTAATATTATTATCTCAAAGCATTGGTACGCCAAAACAAACAAATAAAAATATTTAGATGCTTCTTATTGAATAAACTTCTCACGTGAGGAAATAATTCAAGTTATTCAACGTTTCACTGACGCTCACATAAGAACCATAAGTCTGACCTGATGCCATCATGATTTGTCATTTTCATATCATGTGATAGTGATAATTATAACGGTGTTAGACAGCGTTAACACCCAGAAATAATTCGTCCTTGCACAAAAATAACTACTTTAATTGCTAAATATGTACAATAATTTCCCCTTTCAAACGATATAGCGTGCCAACTGAAATTCTGTTCTGTCATAACATCCTATATGCACGTATACGTTGGATAACTACACGCACTAAAGTTTAGCGGGCTCATAAATGTGAATGTCGAAATGTCAAAGACACACATTTGTTACGCATGTCGGTTGAATAATTACGTTTATCTAGCGTAGCTTATACGTTCCTATGATCATTATCTATGTGTTAGTAATCCTTGCTAACAACGTGTTACATAAAGAGATTCGAGTCAAGTTTATGCCAACCATTAATGCTCGCGACAAACACGTTGCTGGTATTTTCGCAAGTCAGTTAATTTACTTTGTATGATATCAAAAGTACAAATTTATTTTGAGTTATAATATTCTTCAGCTCAGGCTGACATGAGCTTGTAATAAGCTTGCTTCATTTGTGTTAAAAACAATAAAAAATACGCACGTTTTAAACTCTTAAACGCACATTATCCAAAAAAGGTAAATTTTTAAGGTGATTTGTTTTATTATCTATAACACAAAATTAGGTAATATCACACCGGATTATCCGGATTCATATAACCTCAGAAATTCCTGCTCAAATTATTAAATGCTTTAATCCAAATTTCGTGTTATTCCCAAATAACTTCGAATGAAAAAACTGTATACGTATACAAAATAATAGTCAGGAACTGGTCATGTTTCAATCAATGCCATATACTGTTTTAGAATAGATTTGAAAGCAAAATCTTTAGTATGCAATTTTTTCATTGTATTTTTCTCACTTATTTTTTCATACTAAAACTTACTGTCTGACAGATGTTGATGCTGCCTGCTTGAACACTTTCTTGAGTACATATCCTTATGTTCAATCACATTGACAACATTGACACTGTACTCTTCATGGTATGTACCAAACCGTTTTCAAATTTTTCCCACAAGACTGTTTTTTATATAGGTTATCAGTTCATACATTTTTGCTTGCGAAGATCATGTGAAATGGATTAAAACCATATTCTCTATACTTTTCACTTAACGTGGTTGATGGATAAAAGCAATGCACGACCCAAGTCGTTATTGTATAAGTTTTCGGTGGCTATTTTGTGACACAAAGTCGTAAACAAATTTAATGACGTATTTTAAAATGTAAATATTTACCAATAAAACGTCTCGCTGTGAGCTGCAGTATTCGAGCAATTCCGACCGTTGTAAACACATAATTATAACTGTGAAAATTTATAACAATGAAATATGGTATTTCAAAGACCATACACCTACTAAAATAGCAAGGTATTGTCTCTAAGAGAGCAAATTAAGGGAATAAAGTACTATGAAACAACATACACTTTAAACCTGTTTTTTCATTTTATTGTTGAATGTGTTATATTCAACTTTAATACTGTATATCTAAAACAAATAATCAATGTATGTACCACGATGTTTGAACAAGCCACAAATTTGTACACGTTCCTCTAACCTCACAACATCTTGTTTTATTTTGTAAATATTTATCGTAAAATAGACTATATTAAATCTCTTGACGCTTATAACATGTTGTTCGGTACGTTCTTGCATAACTTTGTTTAACCATATCAATTGCGTGTTGCATTTGTATCTCTTTTTCGGATTTGACTGTCTTGCTCTATTTTGATTTTATTTATTCTAACATTCTTTTCATTTGGTTCCAAAGTGTCTAAGGAATTATTGAGACGTGATAAGAAAGTCCATTTACCTCAAGTAATACATTTTACTCGATATTTCAAGTATTGTAATTAACTTTTATTCACTAATTTCTCACCATCGTATAAATTAATGTCAATCAACTTCAACAATGTACTTACTGGTACAGCTTCCCTTAAACATCAAAGGATTAATATAATTATTGAAAAATTTAACATCCTACAACTTTAATAACATACTTTTATTATTTCAACTTGCCAAATGTGGGATGGTAATACATGCATTTTTTAGAGAGGTTCAATCATGCACAAACCTTTAACCACTCATTGCAATTTTGTAGATGATTATCTCTTGTTATATAAATTTCATAATTGCCTTATTGAGTACTTAAAAATACACTTCAATTTGAAGTAAATTACGTAAATTTCTCCGAATATTACATGAAAACAGCACGAAGTAATTATTTTTATGTAGTGATGGATTCAGCATATCCTAGACAAATTTATTGAAATGAAATTACAATTATCTTGTTAAAAACAGTCAAACTAATATTGCTGATAAATCTTGGTGAAGAGCGCGAATGCTCTTTATATCTCTATTATCTTTCAGTATTACACCCATATCCTAAAAACAACGAACTGGCATATAATAGAAATTGAAAAATAAATAACTCATCTCACATGAAAAGTACGGCTACACTTTTACAATAATTTTAAAAATTCCAAAATTTTCAAAGCATCTTACCACAAGAGGTCGTACGATAGACACGTTCAATTTCAAAATCATTTTTGCCTTCGCATGCGACCATGTTCAAGATTGAAGCTCACTTCCACCATCCAATACAATTATGCACGTTTTGAGAAAATGTTAATAAATTTTGAATCAAGAGTGCTGAATCAAGTTTTATTATTTATAAAACTAACTTTTTATGCCACCTTTCGATAATAGATCATCCATTATTCACCGGTTTGCGACAGAAAACTGTATGTTTGAAAAAGTGTAAGAAAATCGTAATAAGTATTTTGCGCAATGCTCCAACAAGACGGTCAATCTATCATAAACAAACTGAACTAAGTAATACCTATAGATTAAATCATGCCCATGAGTTGGAGTGTTTTATATTTTATTCCTTGTTTCAAGCATATTTATATAAGCCTGACAATTCTGATCGATTCGGTACTGTGAAAGACATGTGCGTCCGCTCATTCCAAGACCTAGCTACGCCGCAGAGTCAAATGTCCTTTCATCGCAGCAGAATCAACAAAAAGGTATTAAAATAATCAGAAGGACTATTTTGTAAAAATAAAAAGGGGAAAACTACAAATTGAAAAATTTCAAAAGTAACATTAAGGTAAAATTTTAATTTTTGGTAAATTCCAAGGTTCGTAACTTTGCAAATCTGTTCACAATTTTTGTAATAACAACATTAATCGACGTTCAAAGTTTGATAAACTTATTGATTAGTGATTTTTTTCCATTTTTTTTACCAAATTATTACATCTAATATTACAAGGTATTATCATGATTCACATTTACACAAATTTAGAATTCACGAATAAGTCTAAATTATATGCAGGTCTTTTGTAGGAACATTGATAGAAAGGTTGATAGTTAATAAAATTCAGAAATATAGCGATAAAAACTGAGCGTTCATTGGATAGATTGTCTAGATTAGAAAATTGGAACTATGAGGTGACGTGAGGGGAAAGTCAATACGTGAAAAAATTAATTCTTTCGATGGAAAAAATCCTACACAATGTGCTAACACAATGTGTTGAGAAAATTTTTTGCATGTTTCATCTTTGCTTCGACGTTCCTTTTGCAAATATTTTATCAGCATTTCGGGGCTAGTCGTCCCAGAAAATGTGGACCACCACGTGAGTTCTAATTGTGCCTAATTGTCAAATTGGCTAGACCGTAAAAAAGATTTTCAACTGGGCAAGTTTTAGTATCACTAGTAAATTATATCAATGCAATACTAATTTTTTCTTTTTGCTCTTTAGGATTAGTACAAAATTGCGTAAGCAACTCAATAAATTATTTCGTTGTTTTTACTTGTATTGTTGTGTCTAATTGCTGTAAGTGTATATTTTTAGTTTGTGTTTAGGTTAGTTTTGACTTTGAGAACAAAACAATTTCAGATTGTTTGATAGTTGAAGTAGGCAAAATATTTCAGATATATTTATAGTTTGATATTCGATTTAATCGTCTTATTATAATACATGTTACTTGAGCCATACTAATGCTTCCTTATGATTTGCATCGTTCTCACGAAATGAGTCAGTTAAACTTTTACTTGACAAATCGCCAGACAAACTTAACTTAAACCATAACTTTATTTCCAAAAAATTTGGCACATTAGAAACTGGAACAAGAGAGCTATGCTCAAATATATGGACACGTAGAGTCACATAATTTTGATGACGTCATAGCAAAAAAAAAATAGCCTTCTGGAGAAAATTTTTATCTTTAACCACTGAAAATTTCAAAGCAATTGGTCCAGTATTCGAAGAGAAAAGCGATTTCTTCAAAACGTGTTGACGGAGACAAATAATAATAACAATAACAACAAAAGTAAGTAAAATATATATAAAGTATATAAGTAAAAATATAAATAAGTAAAATATTCTAAAATACCAAGCCTTCCTATAATATGAGACAAAATTGCTTACGTATTTTTAGGATATATTTTGTCTTTGGCACATTTGGTTTTTTAATCTTTGTTTGTACTTTATCTTTAAAGTCTCAAGAGAACCATGGTACGATGAAACATTTTGAGGACAACTATCTTTCATGGATAAGATAAACAGGTGGCTTCATACAGAAAAAAAATAATAGAGCACTATGTCA